ATAAATTTTGAAATTACAGTTACAAGTGAAAGACAAATTAACATAGCCGTTATTATACTCCAATCACAAATTATGGCCTTAGCTATAGTTTTTTAATTTTGCATGACTTATTGATAAATAAGTTTATTATACAGGAAATTGTCATATTTTTTTCCCTTGTTTAACTGCACTTCCAGTTAAAAAAAGAACGGATGCAAACTGTTGTTCTTTTTTAAGAAACAGTAAAATATATATGCTGAGCAGTATATGCTTCGTGAGGTCTAGCTAGTGCTTGATATGATCAAGATTCCCATGTTACACTCCAAACTCTACAGTCTTCAATTATTTAGCATTGCACGCTACGGCTTAAATATTCTTGGAAAAATTACAATCAAGGAACAATGGGGATAATTAATTACACTACAGGATTAAATAATTTTGATATTACTCTACGAAACCAAAGGACCTAAATGTAATTGAAATTTATTGTAAAAAGATAAAACTACTCCTAATATATATTGTTGTGATGGAAAAATTGATTATTATTAAAATAAAAATGAGACTTTTTTTTTTAATGAAAACTTATTCACCAAATTATAAATATTTTTCTCTACCAAGTTAATATTTTATAGTTGCTAATAAAGGAATTGATTGTTGTTAGAATGAAAATGAGACTTGCTCGCCAAATCACAATACTTGTTCTACTCCACCACCAAGTTAATTTTTTGAAATTGTTAATAAAAGAATTGACTATTGTTAAAATGAAAATGAGACTCATTTTTCCTCAAATGAAGACTTGTTCATCAAATTACAATATTTGTTCCTCTCCATCACTAAGTTAATTTTTTAAAGTTGTTAATAAAAAAATTGATTATTATTAAAATAAAAATGGGACTTTTTTTTTCGAATGGGAAGTTATTGTTAAAATAGTGTGTGTACATACATATGAGATGTAGTTTTGTTTTTTTACAATAAATTTTAATTCAATTTAGGTTCTTTGATCTTGTAAAATAATATTAAAATCATTTGATCTTGTAGGGTAATTAATTATCTCCAATGATGCTTGATTATAGATTTTTCCAATATTCTTCGATGAAGATGATAGAGAACCTTTTTTTGGGGGCGGGGGGGGGGGAGATTATCGTTCTTATTTGATTCGTTATTTTCAATTGGAATTTACTTAGTCAAGAGGCTCTCCTTTCGGCCAGTCTGGTACAAGGTAATAATATTGGACAATAACAAATGAGATTTTTGTCCCAGGCATTGGGCCCATACGCTTCAATTAATTTCAACACACACACACACATACTCCTCGTATCTCACTTAAAAAATAATATATTTTGTTCTTTGCTAGAAAGAAATGTAAAGGAATCTAGTGCATATGATAAGAAACCAAATAAATATAAATATATGGAATTACATACATGATTTAACTGCACTAACCAAGATACATTAATTTAATCAACCTAGGCCTTTCTTTATTTAACTTGTTGAGAATTACGTGGCTTTTGATAGGGAAGCACACGCTGAGTTAGGGTTAGGGATGAGATCTAGTTTATTTAATAATCCTTATTTAAGTAAATCTTGTAATAGATGGGCCCATTAAGGATGGACGATAGTGTTGCTTTCAATAATATGGGTGCGTTGTTGTTCCGTCCATGATGGCATGGGAAAATATCCTACGTTGGGGGAAAACTTTTACAATAGAATAATCAAAATAATAACCAACCAAAAGTAATAATCAAAATAAACAAATGGAAATATTATATGACATGTGAACCTCAATGTGACCTGATACCCCCCACATTTTCTTTTTTTAATTTCGCTATTGCTTGGGTTGGCGCTAAAGTTTGGTTGATATTTATGAAGAAATTAAATATGGAATCTTTTCATTATTATATATCCTAGGTAGAATTTGTAATTAGTTTTAATTTAATTAATTAAGAAGAGTAGAGATCCGATAAAAAACGAATTTTGATTCATAACACTGGATATTCTCTTTTATTTCTATCCACATTCAAGATGGAAAGCTAGTTTATTTAATTTAGTATTCAATAATTAATAATCTACCCAACTTCCTGTTAATTTTTTTAAAAAGGAGGAAATGCATATTATTAGGAGCATCTTTTGCTGCAGATGCTGTCTATTATTCATTATTTATAACTAAAGCTAGCATTAATTATCATATGCATGAATGCATCAGAATTTACATGTACATCAAATAGAATTTATTTGTTTTTCAAACACTATAATAGTTAATAAGATATTATAAGTCATGTGGTTTAAGTACTGTGGTTTTATATATTTAATTTCTTCGCTTTTATTTTGTTATTGAATTTTACGCTCTGCTCATTTGATTGAAATTATTCGAGGCGCCTTTCTTGTGTGTATAAATAAGTGCGCGCGCGCGTGTATATATATAATATAATATGAAAAATAAATCTTATTGAGAAAATTGAAAAGGGTTATTTTGAGTATGAGTTACTAATCTAGCATGGGCGTCGCGTGTTTAAAAAAAAAATGAAAACTCGACTTCAATTTTTGAGCTACCTGTTATCCAATAAATTTTACAATGAAACTAGCATTAGAATTATTAAATTTTATACTTTAATTCAATAATCTTAAAAATTTTATCATTAAATTATAGGTTTAGAAGTATTTAGGAAGAGTCTAATTTTTTTATGCAATTTTACCCTCAACATTTTAAAATGTCACGCTATATATCCTCTCCTATATATTAATTACAAGGTAACTGTCCGTTACTTTTGTGTTGTGAGGCTCCCATTTATTTCATATAATCTGGCGGACAGTATTCTTTAATTAACAAAAGGGGCATATTGTGAAGTTTTTAAATTTTGAAAGGCAAAATTGCACAAAAAAATTTAAGATTCCAGGTGCTCTCCACTGGCCTTATAATTTAAGGGCAACATTGCCTAATTATGAATCTTAAAAATCGTTTAGTAAGTTTCTTAACACTTGTAATAATAATAATTGTATAATATAATCACAGCATTAATTCTTGGACTTGTGCATGAACGATGTGCTAGCTATATACAGGATGAGAAATAGAATAAAATTCACGAATAAAACTTAATTTTAAAATGAGTAACTCTTTACTAAAGCATTTTAAACAAAGTTTCACACTTATTCATGCATAACTTAGAAGTAATAGTAGTATATAGACTTGTAGCATAACAAGCAAAGACTCTAACACAGGATGCAAGTTACAAGCAGTACCACCTATGGGTGTTCAACCTCATACACCAATAATACGACATGCAGTCCATAAGAAACCATAAGTAAACGAAGCGACACCAAAAAGAAGACGCACGACAGGATGGTTCTTCAGCGTTTGAAAGCTTGGAAGAAGACACCCCAACGGCTCTTAGGCTTTGGCTTTGGCTCTGCCTTGTAAAAGCGCTGCTCAACGTTAATTCCGTGGTACTTGAGAGCTGCTTCTCTGTGATCGATGGTCACTAGAGCTGCCTCTTCCTTGTTCTTGGTGTAGTAATTATAATTACTAGCGTTTTCTTGTCTTCTGTAGCACTTGCATGCATCTATCAGACTGAACCCTTCTCTTCCAATCTTCACAAGATCTGATGCCATCTACACACAACAAGCTCAAGCTAGCTGCTTTTGATGATTTTTGTCTGTGGTTTGATTTTGCAACAATGAGCTCTGTATTTATAGGCAAGGCCGTGAAGTGGTTCTTTGCCTGTCGTCGGACCCACCGGTATATTTATAACAACACACCTATAATGGTTTGCTTTCCATCGATTCTTTCTTAGGCTTTTTTAGTTTATATAGCTAGTAAGCTAGATACCAAATTTATATCACCGTATATTAAAGTATTTCATCTAGAAAGAGCATTTTTATGCTTTATAAACGTAGGCACACATATTTTTTTGGTAATAGTGGTACACGTACTTTAGTTTTTTTAATATAATATTTTAATTTTTGATAAAGTAATACGTATTTATAGAAATAAGCTTTGTTCTTCGGTGGGCCGAGTTTTCGACCCATGCATGCACCCAATACATGGATATTAGCGAGAGTCGTACATTTGTGGTCGAAGCAAAGCATTGAGATGATTTGGGTTCTGTGGGCAATCCAAGTCCACTACTTATTCAATGTGTCTCTTACACAGCAACAATAAATCGAACGACTGCCGGAGATTTGTTATATAATACTTATAAAATATTAAATCTCAAAAATTTTAAGTGACAATATACATATAAGGAGTGGTCTAATTATGATGACTGTTTTAAATTTTTATAAAAAATATTATATTTTTATAATTTTCAAGTATTAATGAAATTTAATAGTTATAATTGAAATACTCTCATTGAGTAAATAAACATAAGCCACTAAACGAATGTAAATCCGGTATATATCCATAATCATCATAATAAGAAGTCATTCTTAATTATAATATTGATTCATCACTTAATTTTTTATATGTACAGGTGGAGAGCGCTTCCCCTTCAAGTCCAAGATTATATAAATTGAGAGAGACAAAGTTGGCACTTAAATTATTTTTTTCCCTAATATGGTGCATTTTTTCTCATGCACGTGCGTGTCTTTTTTCTTTTTTTAATGTTAAGATCCGCAAACATGATTGAGTAAATATAGCATGCCAATATGCTAATTATATACATGCAAAAGCCTTATCACAAAGAAATTAGATAGACCCATTTCAAAGCGATGTAATTTGCCGAAGTTGGAGATTCATCCTTATTACTCAAATTAATTACAACCATAATCTCCTGATATCACCATTCAAATTAAATGGACCAAAAATAGTCAACGGCTGTACATATTTGCAGTCAGGATTTTAATTTATATGCCGAATTTAGTCATAATAATTAATAATCACACACGAGGTTCCCAGATTAGGACGCTGTTTCACGAGAGGTCTTCCTCAACTTCCGTTGCACAAACAAAATTTGATGTTCAGAGATCAGAGAAGAGTTCTATATAAGTCACACCAGAAAACGAGATCCAACAGCAGATCAACGACCAGCTTTGGCCTTTCAGAAACTGCTCAGGCAAGAGAGTGCCAACAATATTCTAAGTTATACTCTTATTGTTGGTATCTCTTCATATTGAATAATACACAAATCTATATTGTAGATTAGATAATAATATAAATGTCTAACGGTGACCATGAAAGGAAGAAGAAGATCGCCGTTATTTCGGTATCTGGGATCCTTCTAGTGGCTATGGTGGCGGCCGTGGGCGTCGGTTTATCTGGCACCGGCGAGGAAGCCTACGATGCGGTCGCGTCCGCGGAGGATGACGGTGGTGAGAAGAAACAGATTTCGGCGAGTCAAAAGGACGTGGAAATGCTTTGCAGCTCAGCCCAATACAAAGAAACCTGCAAGCACAGCCTCGCAAAAGCAAACAACGGCACCACCGACGTTAAAGAACTCATCAAAACGGCGTTCCACGCCGCCGCCAAGGAGTTCAAGAAGTTCATCGACAATTCCACCCTCTTCGACGAGCTGGCCAAGGACAACATGACCAAACAGGTAATATTATATATGTATTGGGTCATTCAGTAATTAACTTAATGAACGAATAATCCTAGAATACTTCAACAGGCTATGGAGATCTGCCACGAGGTGCTGGACTACGCCATAGACGACGTAAAGAACTCGATCAATAGCGTGGAACAGTTCGATATAAGCAAGCTAAGCGACTACGCCTATGACGTTAAGGTGTGGCTCGGAGGCACCATTTCCCACCAACGCACCTGCTTGGACGGCTTCGAGAACACCACCACTCACGCAGCCGAGACCATGGCCAATGTGTTGAACACCTCCCTGGAGCTCAGCATGAACGCTTTGGACATTATTTCTGGCCTCTCCGATGTGGCCGAAGCCTTCGGATTGGCCGGCCTCGGTGGCCAGCAAGATCATGGCACTAACAACACCTCCAGTCGGAAGCTTCTCGAGAGTTTGCCGTCCTGGGTAGGTGATAGCCAACACCGTCATCTCCTCGCCGCGGCAGCTGCCGGTGCTTCCAACGTCAAGCCCAATGCTGTTGTGGCTCAAGATGGATCCGGGCAGTTCAAAACACTAACAGACGCTATTAATTCTGTTCCAAAGAATAATAAGAAACCCTATGTGATTTACGTGAAGGCCGGCATATATAAGGAGATTGTGAAGATTCCCAAGCAATCCAGCTATATCACTATCGTCGGAGATGGTCCCACCCTCACCAGATTCACCGGCGGTCTCAACTTTGCCGACGGCGTCCAGACTTACAACACCGCAACATTCGGTAAGTTTTTGATTTCAAGATACAAGTCATCCATTAAAATTAAGAAACAGAACTGCTAATGAAGAAAATTGTGGGTTGTGAATTTGCAGGCGTGAATGCTCCTTACTTCACGGCCATGCACGTAGGGTTTGAGAACTCCGCCGGAGCAATTAAGCATCAAGCCGTGGCGCTCCGAGTGACAGCAGATAAAGCTGTCTTCTACAACTGCCACATGGACGGATACCAAGACACCCTCTACGCGCAGTCTCACCGCCAGTTCTACCGAGACTGCGTCATCTCCGGCACAATCGACTTCATCTTTGGCGACGCCGACATGGTCTTCCAGAACTGCACGCTGGTCGTGAGGCCACCTTTAAGCAACCAGAACTGCATCGTCTCAGCCAGTGGCCGCAACGTGATCAACAGCCCCAGTGCCATGGTGTTCCAGAGCTGCCGCTTCACTGCCGACACGCTCTACCTCTCCGATCCGGCGAAGAAGCCGGCATACCTAGGACGACCGTGGAGGGCATACGCCAAGGTGGTGATCATGGATTCTGAGATCGACGGAATCTTCGCTCCCGAAGGTTACTTGTCGTGGATGGGAAGCATCTATCACTTGACCAGCATCTTCAATGAGTATAACAACAAGGGTCCCGGCGCCGATACCTCTCATAGAGTGAAATGGCCCGGTGTAAAGGTGATCACTGCTTCACAAGCTGCAAATTTCTATCCTCGCAAGTTCTTTGAATTTCGCAATGCAACAACAGCTGAAGACGATTCCTGGATCTCCGCGTCCGGGATTCCGTATTCCGTTGGCCCCATGGCCGTTCCTAATTGATCATTGATCAATTTAATTAATCACGCTTCACCTTATTGTCAAAGCATATGATTAATATATGTATTCATCTTATATATATGTGTGTAGGAGGTAAGTAGGCGTTGGAGTCATATCCGTTCTGTTCTGATATCCAATTCGATCGACTAGTGGTGCACTAGCTCCTTGGTTAAATTATCTTGAGTTCATTTTGTTGGATGTTTTGTATGGCTTGATTATCTCAAAATGAATTATTTCGGCAACCTGCAAATCATTATCATGGCGAAAAATCCATGCGATGCAACATTTTCTACATTGAGCATCACTTATAATACATGCGCCTACAAAATGTAAGCCAACTTTTTTTATATAAATTAGCAAAATGTTAAATATAAATTAAAACACGTTCTTATTACAAACTCTATGGTTCTTGTTACGTTGAACAAAAGGGGCCATAATTTTTGGCTGAGAGAGAGAGGCTAGAGCAGGGACAAATATAAAGAAGAAAAATATACATGGGAAATTAAATAGATGATAATTTCAGAATTTATAAAAAAAAACTGTACTCATTCCCCCATCATTCAAACTTACTAACATATGAAGAAAAAACATTAAAGAAGTTTTTTTAAGAATTTAACAAAACTTAATAAAATGTAGGGACAAAATATTGGAGAATAAAAAGTTACTTGCAGTTAAAACGAGTCCAAAATTGATGGATTTATCAATAATAGCATGATAATATTGTTATTTCCTATAAATTTGATATTTTATATCAATGTTGATTTAAATATATATATATATATATTAAATAAACTTATGGAACTCAAATGAGGTTTTAGCCTTGGTTATAAATATTGCTATTCAGTTTTCGTGGTTTCTGCAATCCCAATATCCCATTCACCTGAGCTTGTTTTACTAGAAAAAAATTATTGCTATTTTTCTAAGAAAAAAAGTTGCGAGTAAGTATTTGATTTTCCCTTGTTGGGTTTATATTATTAATCCTAATGTCAACAACTAATTTGCCACAATTGAAGATCTAATTTTCTGCCATTAAACAATAACCACAATGTTATAAGTATGCTGCTTAAGCATGGGCATAAATAAACAAGGTAATGAGAAGTCAACATTAATTTCATGTGCGTGTTTGTGCTTCTTAGCAGAAAAGAAAGAAGAAACGTGGATTCCAATTGAGATTGATTCTAAATCTTTGTAAATTTTAATACTATAAGTATATATATGTCTGATATGTTTTGGGTTTCTTTGTTACGTTGTTGATATGGTTTATATCTGAGATTACTTGATGATAGAATTATGCATAATTGTACACACACACACACACACATATATATGATAGAGTTGTTGATGAATGGTTAGTTATTATATATATATAGGGTAACAAATACTTTCTATTTTGGTCAATTTAGCAAATACTTTCTAAAATAAGAAATTGCTGAGGAAGGCTCTTTACGGAACTGGTTTCTGATGTACTCTCGAAAGATACCTCCGGCATTTCAGTTTTCAGGATAGTCCAAGTCTTCATCTGATGGTATATGACATTTGCTATATCGAATGTAGAAAAGGCCAAAAAGGGGGGGAAACGGTTTTCAACTTCCAAGGAATAAAAAACTTGGATGGGCTATTTTAGTTGTTATGATAACCTTCAAGGGGCAAAATATTCTCAGTTAAAAGTTATAGATCAATATTAGAAAATTAAATCCTAGCATGAAGCAAAATCATTGGCAAGGATACCTTGCTCAGATTCTAACCATTTTTAGAGAGAAAAAGAAAGTGGCAAGATTCCACTTGACAGCTACGAAAAAAAGGGAGGGTGAAAAGTAACTTTTCAGCACAGAAATGACTTTTTCGCATATGCTTGTTCAAACCAAAATGTTAGTCCATCCGTTAAAAAATATAAAATATTTTTTGAAGAGTTAAATATTTAAAAATAAAAGATATTTTTAATTTTTTGAGGTGTAATCATTACTTTTTTTTAAAAGTATCCTTATTGATAATAAATTTATATTTATTGTAGGGTATTTAACGGGGATAAATATGAAAAGATAGAATTATTTTAAAAGTAAGTAACTACTTTATTGGAGTGATATTTAATTAAAAATGTCTTATATTTTTTAGGGGAGGAAGTAGCTGTGAATTGCCTTCTATCCTGATGACAATAAGCTATTTGTAGATGAGAGATCATGAGTTTGATTTCACTTATAACCTTTGACCATTAGCGTCTACCCTTCTAATTCCAATAAAAATATTAGCTCAACATCACTTGCTTCAGCCAAAAGAAGACAAGCAGTAAGCTTATATGAAATGATTAAAAAAAAAATCAAGTATATTGGGTATTTTTACTAACAAGTAAATTACACCAACTGCAAGACTTCGACCAAGGGCTGTCCATCAGTCAAATTCCTCGACAAGCACATCCACATAATTATATATTTTAAATGGTTGTGGATATTCAAGTACTCTCCTAATGCACTTGTTCGACACGACTGTTAGTTTGGTGACATTGTCATCCAGATACATCAAAATAAGATCCAACGACCACATTTAATTTGACCAGAAATCTAAAAATACTTTCAAATTTTGACAGTGTTCAAATATTGAAAACAATTTTCATATATATTTGAGTACCCAAGGTGGGAACCGAAGATTCCTTGGTGTACCAAAAGCATAATAACCGCTAAGACAATGGTAGTTCTTTATTATATATAGTGCCAAATATATATATATATATATATATATATAACATAAACTATACTTTTAAACTAAGACTAAATAAACTTGTTAATAATATTACTTATTAATTCACAAGTGAAACTTGTTAACAATACCCTTTACACATTTAATTCTAGTAACTTGTTAAAACTCTAATTTAAATTACTAATTTACTAATATCACTTGTTAACTTATTAGTGAAACTAGTTGTTTATACCTTCTACATATTAATCGCATGGTGACTTGTTACAACCTTAACTTAACTTGTTAATTCACTAATGCTACTTGTTAATCATTAGTGAATATAATAAATAAGTTAGAGTTTTAGCAAGTTACCAAATTGAATATGTAGAAGGTATTTTCAACAAGCCTTTTTTTCCTCTATTAATTTTAATCATGTTCATTATTTCACCTTCGCCTTATGTTGGGCCGCAAATAACATGATTTCATGACCTAATTTAATTAAACCTGCCTGAAAATACACAAGATGAATTTGAAAATAATCAGATATTGATTTCTTGTTCAAATTGCACTATTTGGTCTTGCATTATTCCCTTGCTCCTTTGTTTCTTCCAGTGAATGTGATATAAGTCATTGGCAGGATGAATCAAGCCAGAAGGACTTGAATCACAATTTGAGCAATTTTGACCACGCTGATATATTGAAATTAGTGACAAAATTTTTCATATAAATGTATCTTTTTTATGGAACAATAAGAAGATTTTAAATGACATAAGATAATTTCAACGCTAAATTTAGTCAAAATAATTAATAATCACACACGAGGTTCCCAGATTAGGACATTCACGAGAGGTCTTCCTCACCTTTCGTTGCACAAGCAAATTAAAATTTGATGTTGAGAGAAGCGTTCTACATATAAATCAAACCAGAAAACGTGATCCAACACATCAGATCAACGACCAGCTTTGCCCTTTCAGAAACTGCTCGGCAAGAGAGTGTCAACAGTATTCTAAGTTCTACTTCTACTCTTACTACCGGTGGTATATCTGCATATTCAATAATATACACGTCTATATAGTAGAATAGATATAATAATAAATATGGCCAACGGTGACCATGAAAGGAAGAAGATCGCCGTTATCTGGCTATCTGGGATCCTCCTAGTGGCCATGGTGGCCTCCGTGGGCGCCGGCGACCTGGAAATGCTTTGCGGCTCAGCCCAATACAAAGAAACCTGCAAGCACAGCCTCTCAAAAGCAAACAACGGCTCCGCCGACGTTAAAGAACTCATCAAAACGGCTTTCCAGTCCACCGCCGAGGAGTTCAAGAGGTTCATCGACAACTCCACCCTCTTCCAAGAGCTAGCCAAGGACAACATGACCAAACAGGTATTATCATGTCTCGGATCATTTAATGAATAATTATCCTAGAATAGTCATGAGAGTATAATATATGTTTGTCAAATTCAACAGGCTATGGAGATCTGCCACGAGGTGCTGGACTACGCCATAGACGACGTACAGAACTCGATCAATCGTGTGGATCAATTCGATATAAGCAAGCTCAGAGACTACGCCTATGACGTTAAGGTGTGGCTCGGAGGCACCATTTCCCACCAACGCACCTGCTTGGACGGCTTCGAGAACACCACCACTCACGCCGCCGAGACGATGGCCAAGGTCTTGAACACCTCCCTGGAGCTTAGCATGAACGCTTTGGACATTATCTCTGGCCTCTCCGAGGTGGCCGAAACCTTTGGATTCTTTGGCCTCCTCGGCGGCCAGCAGGATCATGGTAATAACAACACCTCCAGTCGGAAGCTTCTCGAGAGTTCGCCGTCGTGGTTAAGTGATAGCCAACACCGTCATCTCCTCGCCGCGGCCGCTGCCGGTGCTGCCAACGTCAAGCCCGATGCTGTTGTGGCTCAAGATGGAAGTGGGCAGTTCAAAACACTCACCGACGCTATCAAGTCTGTTCCGAAAAATAACATGAAACCCTATGTGATTCACGTGAAGGCCGGCGTATATAAGGAGATTGTGAATATTCCCAAGCAAGCCAGTTATATCACTATCGTCGGAGATGGTCCCACAGTCACCAGATTCACGGGCGCTCTCAGCTATGCCGACGGCGTCCAGACTTACAACACCGCAACATTCGGTATGCTATTAATTTCCTGATCGATCTAAAGATACAAGTCATCCAAATAAAATTAAGAAACAGAACTGTTAATGAACACAAATATGATCTTCTGAATATGCAGGCGTGAATGCTCCTTACTTCACGGCCATGCACGTAGGGTTCGAGAACACGGCCGGAGCAATTAAGCACCAAGCCGTGGCGCTCCGAGTGACGGCAGATAAAGCCGTCTTGTTCAACTGCCACATGGACGGGTACCAAGACACCCTCTACGCGCAGTCTCACCGCCAGTTCTATCGCGACTGCGTCATCTCCGGTACAATTGATTTCATCTTCGGTGACGCTGAGATGGTCTTCCAGAACTGCACACTGGTTGTAAGGCCACCTTTAAGCAACCAGAACAGCATCGTCTCCGCCAGCGGCCGCAACGTGGCCAACAGCCCCAGCGCCATGGTGTTCCAGAGCTGCCGCTTCACCGCGGACCCACTCTACCTCTCGGACCCGGAGAAGAAGCCGGCATACCTAGGGCGACCATGGAGGGCATACGCGAAGGTGGTGACCATGGATTCTGAGATCGACGGAATCTTCGCTCCTGAAGGTTACATGTCGTGGATGGGAAGCATCTATCACTTGACCAGCATCTTCTACGAGTATAACAACAAGGGTCCCGGCGCCAATGCCTCTCACAGAGTGAAATGGCCCGGCGTGAAAGTGATCACTGCTTCGGAAGCTGCAAATTTCTATCCTCGCAAGTTCTTTGAATTCCGCAATGCAACCACAACCGAAGACGATTCCTGGGTCTCCACCTCTGGGGTTCCCTACTCCTTTGGCCCCATGGCCGTTCCCAATTGATTAATTTAATTAATCACGCTTCGCCTAATCATCAAAGCAAATTATTAGTATATATATATATATATATCTAGAGAGGGTAAGTACATCGGCGTCGGAGTCATATCTGTTCTTTTATGTTTTGGTATCCAATTTGACAAGTGGTGCGCTAGCTCTCCTTGGTTAAATTCTTGAGTTCATTTTGTTGATTGTCTGACTTGATTATTTCAAAATGAATTATTTTGGCAACCTATAAATTGTTATCAAGGCCAAAAACCCATGCAACGCAACGTTTCGTTCTTTGGGCATGACCTATATTTACATGCACCTATAAAACATTAAAATGCAAGCCAACTTTTTTCCATATAAATTAACAAAATTTTAAATATAAATTTAAATACGTGCTCATTACAAACTCTGCTGTTCTTATAACCTTGAATAAAATGGGGCTTTTTTTGGGGGGGGGGGCTTTGAGAGCGAATAGGGGAGGGATAAATATAAAGAAGAAAAATATATGTGGCAAATTAAATAGATGATGATTTCGTAATTTACAAAGAAAAAACTGCATTCATCATTTCCCCACCATTTAAACTTACTAAAGTATGAAGAAAAACATTAAAAAAAATAAAAAATTGACAAAAATTAATAAGATGTATGGACAAAATATTGTTATTTCATATCAATATTGATTTAATATAGAAAACAAAAAACAAATAAATTTATGCAACTCAAATGAGGTTTCAGACCTTTTAGCCTTGATTGTGAGTTGTTTGATATAAACATCAGCATTCAGATGTGTAATAAAATTCTTAATAAACATTTCAACTCATTTTTCAAGGCAAATGCAATACACATAAAAAATTTTGTTTTATTTTTCCTTAAAAAAACTAGTTGCGAGTCCACTGTTTTTGGGCTGATGTTTAATCCTAATATCAACAAATGGATGGTCTGAAGAAAACGAATGAAGATTGTTTGGGTCAACAGATAGCCCAATGCTTTTATGTTTTTGGGAAAGCCCAATGGATTTTATTAACAGATGGCCCGATTCATTTCTGAATACTATCAAACAAGCGGGAAAATGGTCATTGGCACTTTTTGAACTCTATCTACTGCTCCCCCCCAGCCGGGGCGCTGCTGCCTGGTGTTGCAGCAAAGCACCATGGATAACAGAAGCTTCAGATTTGTGAATGCAGAATACCCGCTTTTCCATTTCTGGGGAATTCGAAAACCCTGATTATACTTTTTCAGTACTGACAATTTCTCACCGGGAACTTGAAACCCTAGGGTTTCATTCCGGAGGATATGACCAACGACAAGTTGGAACCGGGAAGCAGCAGTGGTGAGTTCCACTCGGTTCACGCAGAGCGTGACCTTGAATCTAATTGGGAAGTTAACCTCTCCAAGAAGCTTGAGGAGTATTTACTGAAAATTTGCTCCGGTGAGATCACGGGGGTGGAAGAGGAGGATCACATTTCCATAAACTTTGCTGAAGGTTTGGCCAATCTCATTCAAATTCCGTTTTCCGCCTTTTCTTTTATATGCTCATCTGAATTGGCTGTTTCTCGGTAATTGTAGCTGCTCTGCTGCTTCAGGGCTCAATACAGGTTTACAGTCGGAAGGTGGAATATCTTTACACATTGGTGTTGCTTTCGAGTTTCTTTCTCAGAAAAGGTTTGATTTTTTAGTTAAAGTTTCGGGTTTTTACTTGCTTGTTACTTAATCTTCAGCTTTAGCTTTACCCGAACTGAAGTCCAATAGAAAAGAAATTTATGTTCTTCAATTTTGGAAATTTGCGATCTTAATATCATGCATTCATGCTAGAAGCAATATTTTGCGCAAGCTTTACTTTGCTGGCCGGTTGCTATTCATGTGTCAATCCATGGTGCATAGACATTATACAGTTGATGCTTTATGTTGAAATCATGGGCAAAGTAAGCTTGACTCCTTCAAATTTCTATAAAAAAGTGGTTTCTGGATATTAAAGACTTAGCAGATAAATCAAAGTGAAAGTGTTTACTGAAATGCCTACTGGCATTTGATTATACAGCAACAAATCTTAGGCGGAATTTTTTCTTTTTGGCTGAAATAACAGTGAAAAGGAGATGCTGAATTTTAATTGGGTTATGTATTCGGTTGGTAACCAGATATTCTTGATATCTATAATTCTATTTCTAAATCATAAATTTGTTAGGCCAAATGTATTTCATAGTTTGAGAAATGAGTCATACTATTCATGATTCCTGAATACCTGGGCTTTTTATAGATTTTATAGTATATATTGATAATAAAGGTGCAATATATATTATATATCTTTTTTTTTTTTTTTTGCAATGAAGTGGGAATATTTCACCCTCATGCGCCATGCATACCAAGATGGGAGCATCAAAATTTTCAAGATAAAAAAGGAAAAACAAGCCACATCTGGTTGGATTTTATAAATGATATTAAGGCTTCAAAATGTCGGGCTAATTTTTCTATCAAACCAGTGTCTTGAAGTTCTGAAGGGTTTTCCTTTTTTTCCCATATATATTTTTTTAATCTTGTTCATTTTACCTTTGGCTTATGTTGGGCTGCAAATAACATGATTTCATGACCTAATATAGACCTGCCTGAAAATACATAAGATGAATTTGCAAATAATCAGATATTGATTTCTTGTTCAAATTGCACTGTTTGGTTGTGCATTCCCTTGCTCCTTTAATTCTTCCAGTGATATGGTCATTGGCAGGATGAATCAAGCCAGATAGAAGGATTTGAATCACAAAGCAAGCAATTTTGAGGACACTGATATTGAAATTAGTGACATGATTTTTCATATAAACGTATCCTTTTGATGGAACCATAAGCAGATTTTAAATGACATGAGATAATATCAATGCCTCTCTAAATAACCAGCATGTTTTTGTTTTTATTTTTGTGAGTGCATGATTGAATAACGGTTTGAACCTGAGGCCTCTTACTAATGGCCTCCAATCCGGCATCCTCACCACTAGACTATACCTTGTGGCTTGAGTGTACTATGTTTAATTTTGTGCAAAATATTTAGTATTTGATCTGACAGTAGTTTTTGGGCAGACTGCAGGATCAATTAGATGGGACAGGGCCATCAGTCCAACCTGAAGAAAGTGGTGCCCCAGCTGCTGCTTGTGAAGAAAATGATCAATTTTGGTGCTTAGATGAGATCCCAGGTAGCCTTTTTAATGTAGAATATTTAGTAATTATCAAACATGAACATGGCACAAAGGAATTTTTTTTTTTTGGGGTATAAAAGGGATTGTTATTATTGCAAAGTTTTTTTTTTTTTTATTGTTGTTACTTCAGATTTTTAGTATTAACCAAGAGGTAGTCAGAATGATATTGCAATTGAACTTGGGATTGCTGGTATATGGTTTGAATTGCTTTTGGGTTTCATGATTTCTGGAGAACAAAGAATTATTGAGGGTTTTCACATTTCTGGCTTCTTCTCCTTTGTCATCTCTTTTTTGGATTCTTTGATGTCTATATCTTCCACATCCTTCATCAATAGCATTAAAAAGTTATCTTCTATATTGATGTTGCCATGTCTTCCTATATAATCTGTATATTATTGTTGTATTGCAGTGGAAGAAAATATTTACTTAGATAGTACACCAGGAAAAGCAGTCAATTTGGATCACTTTGTAAAGCCTCCTGCAAATCTAGTTGTTCTTGAAGGTGACTGCTTAGATGCTACCGGTGATGGTGGGGAATTGGAGTCTTATTTGGTACCATGATTGCTTCCAGTTGTTTACAAAAGGAAGCATTGCTAACTTCATTTTATTCACTGATGATATGATGTGTGTTTGCAGTTGGCCACCACAGACTTGTATTGTGATTTTATTCTCTTGGACACTTCTGATGCTGTTGCACTTAATGAGTATCTCAAGGGAAACAAAGTAGAGACCGAGCACAATGGCACCTACAGAGGGAGCTCAAATCGCAAAATCTTTCATTCTCCCAGAGGATGTTCTACTGGAAGTGCACATAAAAATTCTGCTGCAAAGAGTCAGCATGCTAATCCCAACTGTACTTCTCAACCTAATTGCAGATTTGATGCTGATAACATTCTAATCAATCCCCCTGCTTCTGCTGGTTTTGATAACTGCAACACTGGACTTCATGTGGATGATGGATGTGATGCATATGACTCAAACAATTCAAGCGATGATGATGATCCATGGAAGCCTTTAAATCCTCATGAGCCAGGCAATCTGAGAGTGAAGCCCTTTAGAAAAGGTTTTTCCTCCCCCTTTATCCCCTTATTAACTTGTCTTATTGCATGATTACACCTATTATTGCTATCCCCTTTATGTTTATGCAGTGAAAGCTTACAAAAGCAAAGGAGTCAATTTAAACAGGCGAGTCTCTATGAGTTCCTTGTTTCCACCTGCAAAATTGCATGGACCTATCAAGCCAGAGCTCATGCACATATGGGAGAGTCAACGTTATGCCAACAAAGAACAAAGGGATGCCTCATCACCTCCATTGTATGAAAGGGTACTTTCTCATGGATTCTCTGTTTACCTTCTTCCATCTTATGACAATTTATAATATTCAATGAATGAATTACAGCTAAGGCAATCACTTATTAAGGGTGGGGGTGGAATTGCTGGCACGTTTCTGAACCCTGAAAATTGCAATGATGACAATTCATATGATAGTGACAACCCTGATCTAGAAGTTCCAGAGAATGTCAATGTGAATGAAGATATGCATGCTTGCAGTAAAGAGGTTTGGAGACCAGTAATTTTATTGTCTCGTGCTCCAGATGGAAATTTCCGTATAAGCTTATCCACTTGATTTTTTACAGCATGACGATGGTGATGCTTATGTTGAAGTTGATGAAGCTATAGGGAATGAATATCCAAATTCTCAGGCAAGTCTGGAAGATCTCTGTCGCTCTCACCTGGTAAGCGCCAATTGTTTTTCATTTTTAGTGTCAAGTTTTTATTTCTTTTATCAAAAGAAAAAAACTTGCACCCTATCTTTTGTAGTTCTGTTGAAGAACTGATGTAAAATAATGCAAGGGCATGAGAGTAACAGTAGGGTGAATTCTGCGTTGCTTGTTTTCCTGAAATGGTAAATCTTTTGCTTAGATGATTCCATAACCTTCAATTCACCACACAGGATTCTCTGCTAGCTAGCATAGCTCAGACTGAGAAGCAAACTGAAATGGCAGCTCGGGTTTCTACGTGGAAACAAAGAATTGAGCACAAGTTGGAAGAACAGGTGAATAATCCTTTTTGGTGCCCTGTGTTTAATGTTCACCTTTTGCTTTTTTGTTTGGTGGGGCAGGGGGGCAGGAGGGGTTAATGGCATTCCATAGTTGGACGTCGTACATATCTCTTCAAAGTTTGTTTTGCTTCAAGTTGATTTGAATTAAGTTGCCTGACAGGAATTACATCCGCCATTTGATATCCATGACTACGGGGAGAGGATCCTGGACAAACTTTCATTTGAAGCACAAGAAAACAGTGAATTGTCCTTTTCTGATGTGGTCAAGGGGCAAGAGAAGTATGACGTGGCTAGAAGTTTTTCTGCTTTACTTCAACTGGTACTTTATCCCCCCATTTGACAGACTGCTCTTTGATTGTTACCATATTTTGTGATGTTGGATGCCTCGAGAGTTGTCTAAATTGGAGCCAATCCAATTTTTGAACTTTACACGACATTTCAGGTAAACAATGGAGACGTACATTTAGAAAGAAGTGGAGATAATGGCAAATCTGTGTGTTACACAGGCGTGAATCCTTTCCATGTTAGGCTCCTAAATCATGAGAAAAAGGGTGGTAATGCACAACTACGTTTGATCAAAAAGAGAGCAAAGTCTCCAACCAAAAAGGCATTTACAAAAGGGAAAAAGAACAAAACTTCAAGGGTGAATTCTCCTAACACAGATTCATCTAAAAGAGGGTTGTCACCTCCATCATCAAATTGCAAGTTCTCTGTGAAGCTTGCCAAGTCAAGTGCCATGAGATGCACTCCAGAAGGAAGAGGCGACGAAGGTCTCAATATGTTGAACCAATTAACTTGCATTCTGCAGGGTAACTCACTCGACAATTTGCAGCTTCCACCTCATGGCCAACGTTGATTTTGATTCAAGCCATCCACTGGATGTCACTTAGTAATTAGTAGATCAGCGTATGAAATCATTGCAGTCCAGGGCTTCACTAAATACTAACAGCTCTCGTTCTGCACGATGGCTATATCCCTGTGAATATTAATGTATCTATGTACTGATGCGACCTTGTAACCCCATATGTATCTTTTCAACGAAATGATCATTCTTGCCCAGTAGCTTTATTCATTTTATTCGGAAACTTGTTCCCCTCGTCATTTTAAGGAAGGCATGTGTTAATATAATCAAAACTGAAGTATGATGATTGTCAATGGTAATTGGGTTGAATAGAAGTGATCCAGTGTTCTTCAAACAAAGTCAAGAAGAAAATCACGTTTAAGATAATATCAAATGTTAAGTCTGTTTAAGATAATAGGCAAACAAATGTTCATTGTTGAGAGGATCAAAGTCGAGCTGCATCTCACAGAATGAAAGTAGCATCACTGAGCCACAATGGCTTTAGTAGAAACTAACTCAACTTAAGTAATGCCACATTGTTGAGGACTGCAATTCCCTATAAATTATTAACGACATCAAATCATTCATGGTTGTATTATATGAAAATATTTGAGATGAGGCTTTGCAACGTGTGTGAATGCGTCAAAATGTGTGGTCCATTTGATGAAGTGAAAAGCTGATGCAATGTATAAATGAAAGGGGACAAATAATATGATCGCAAAGTGTGGGCGAGGATCAAATTATTCAAATATTTGTGTGGCGGTGTGGGACCCTATTGTTGGACTGGAGCGTCCTTCACTCAATCCATTCATTCCTTCCCACCCTTCCTCCAATTTATTATCATAATTCACACCCCGTGCCTTTCATCAATTTTTTTTTTTAAATGGACCAATTTCTTTTATATATTATTAGAATCTGAATATGAACTTTGTTTGTATACTATCTCATTCTTATGATTTACACTGATCTGCTGTGGCTGTCATTCATCTATTTTATAAAATGAAGATGTCTGTCCTTGAAGAACACGTTTCGATGACAATGAAGAATTAGAATTCTACATTTATGTCTATTAGAAGTTATCTTTTACTATCTCGCTCACTCAAAATTACCTTTATCAGAAACTATTAAAAAAATTAAGAATTATGTTATGAGAAATCAGATAATCACCTTCCATCATGTATTTAGAGGGAAAAAATAAATATACTGATCTATTTATTTATTAAACATCTCAAAATAATTTATTTTGTTTTATTGCATAGATTTTCGTGATTTTATATTAAAAAAATATCTTAATAATTGAGCATTTGAGCTCGAGTGATTGGACCAAATAATATTTTAAAAATTAGTTTGCTTAAAATACTAAACTATGTTCAATGAATGATTATAATTCACATGTGATATAGCATTATACTATATGTAATAAAATTTCTCATAAATTGCGCTGTTGTCTATTAGAAGTTAGAACCGATTGCAATGCATGATAAGCATGGCTAATTTCATAGTATATATTAATTTAACAAATTATGTTTTCATAAAAAAACTTATTCTAATGTTTCAGCAAAGGGTTAGATTTTTAAAATATAACAAAATAGCGCCTACTTTACTATTCTCTAAAATAAAAAGAGAAAGAGAATAATTTATTCAGGATTCAGTTATGTTTTTTTTTTTTTTTTGGTTCTCGACTTTAAATATTCATTTCACTGATAGAGTGTCTTTTTTGGAAGTGCAATTTGGTCTAGAAATATTTGAAACCTAAACTTATTTTTTGTATAATATTACACTCTAACTTTTGAAAATGATGAAATATTGCATCTATAATTAACAAAAGATAAATTTAACTAGTAGTTGATTAAAAAAATAAAAATAACATAAAGAAACCTCAAAAATTATAAACAAGGATCCAAAAATTACATAAATTTCTTAGCCATTTTTTATTATTTTGGAGGTCTTTTTCTGTCATTTTTAATCAATCAACAATTAAACTTAATTTTTGTAAACAAAGGAGACGATATTGAACCATTTTCAAATTTTTCCCTTTTAAAAGTATCAATATATTTACAAAAATCATATGAGATTTTAAATGAAAAATAAAACTCATGTACTTAACTTTATATTCAAGATTATTGTTTTCAATTAAATTAAGACATGCATATTATTTATAAATTATTTATTTTATAATAAATTTTTGTTATTAATATTATTAATACATTAAAATTTACTTGTTTTGATTTAATTAGATAAAAATACATTAAATATACAAAGTTAAGAACATAAATCTTATCCTTAAATAAATAATATACCTTATCTCAAACTATGAAAAATGCCCTGTAACACTTTAATTTTATTAACGCAATTAAAACGTACTACAAAGTTTTGTGTTATAATTCTATTTAAAATTCAATTACTTAAAAAATGGAGGAAAGAAACCAAAACACATCAACAAATGACGGGTGTATATATTCATATAAGTCGTAAAATTTGAACGGGCCACCGCACTGTAGTTGGCTTGCATCTTCTCATTTAGAAAACAATTTTTTTTTATAATTTCATGTACAAATTTAATAATAAATATATAAAAAATAGGAAAAGAAAAAAGAAAAAGAACTAAAACACTAATTAGCAGACCAAAAAAAAAATTATCAACAAGATTCACATTCGTAACAATCGTGTCTGCATCGTATCAAACACAGAATCGCTCCAGAGTTACACGGCTATCCGAGTCAACTCATTGACTCGTCTCTGTCTGGGTCACAGAGCTGCATCCTGCGGCAGAGTTTTCCGATGATAGGGATGAAGGACTTACTTTCCTCTCTCTGCTCAGTATTCTCTTGAACGATAGTAAACGACCCCCCGGTGACCTAAACGACGTCGTCGACCCTTCAGCCTCTCTCCCGAAGCTTCTACTCATACTCAATGGCACGTCAACTGTCACTCCCACAGACGACGGCTTCCGCCTCAACCCAATCGAAGACGACGAACTACAGAGCCTCCGCCCGCTCCGGTTGTCTTCTTCTCCTTCCTGGTGGCACCCCGAACTCGAACCAACATCGATCACCACTTCCGGTCGGGGCAGGTCCCCAGGTCGGACGGGTTTCAACCAAAGATCTACAGAGCGGACAGGTTGAGTGGGACTGGAACCACATGTCGATGCATTCGACGTGAAAAGTGTGGTTACATTTGGGCAAAACCCGACCCGATTCGTTCTCTTGGAACTCGGACAAGCACACGGCGCATTCGGCGGGGTCGGAGTGGGCGGAATAAACGAAGACAGGAACAGACTGAATGACAGAGGGATCGAGGCCGATGGGCGGGGGGGCGTCGGGGGTGAGGGAGTCGACGTAGAAGACGAGATGGGAACGGCGGCGCTGGCGGTGACGAAGGCGGGCACGGCGGAGGTACCAGCGGGCGTAGAAGTGGAGGGAAATGAGGAGGAGGATGAGGAAGACTAATATGAGAGTGACGGTGAGGAGGATGTTGGAGGTGAGGGCGTAGCCGTTGGCATTAAAGGGATTAGAATTGGAATTGGGATGGTCGCCGGCGGCCATTTTAGAGTTGGATAGGAATGGGGGAAGAAGGAAGGAGGGTGAGGTATATGGGGAGAAGAACTGGGATTTGAACACCATGTTCTGCTTTACTCACACTGCAGGAACGCGGCTTGATTCCCATTCCTTAATTTGGTTTTGCAATCTCAGTGTTGAAGGCAGAATCAGAAGTCAAGAGTCAATACAATCCTAGGAGCCCCACAAGGAAATCAGTAGCAGTTGTAATAATAGGATCTCAAATGCTAAACATCACCTCATTTGTGAAAAAGAAAAGAAATCACCTTCCTCCTAATAGAAAGGATTATGTTGATTGGAGACATAAAATATTTGTACAAAATGATTAGAAATGCTAGAGAAAATAGCAGGATGATGGTATCCAGAGTTAACATATCAAGTTCTAACTCAAAATTCCAATGCTTTAATTCAAGGTCCTTTCGACTTGTTATAAGGGGTATTATACAAGTATATATTAAATCTAACTTTATTGAACGCGAGACCTGTTCACATCAGTCGTTTGTTTAATTCTTAACATAAGATATGTGAATGGTTGTTTATTATTATTATTTTTTAATTGTATGCTTCATCTATGTATCACTCTTCCTATTTTTAATGAGAATAAAATTGGAATTTCCTTTAATTTTAAAAGATATTTGTGAAAACAACTTGTCACGCAGACTGATGTTTGAACATGCTCGGTGCGGCCGCGTGCGTCACGGCAGGAGTGAAAAACTTTGATCAAACCACCAACTGGCTTCGTCAAACCAGTCGAGGATTGTAGGAGGCCGCTTAGCTTTATTTCATTCCCAAATAAACAAATAAATAAGAAAGATTTTGATCAACTTTCTTGCTCGCCTTACCAATTTTCCCTCTTCGCGCTGTCTTCTATTTAAATATTATCAAAAATAATTCCTTTGTTTTAAACAAATAGGATTGTTTGTGTTTGAATCCTACTCCCTTCATGAGACAATTATATTAAATCTCACATAAAAAAATTAATTATTATAAAATTTATTAACAACTGAATTAAACTGTATTGCAACACAATTAGTTGTCAATACAATTTAATTAGTTGTTAATAAACCTTATAATAATTAATTCTTTATATAGAACCTAACTGTCCCTTATATATATATATAATTGTATCACACAGTTAAAAAAATTAATTAATCATAATAATTATATCTGAAAATAAAAAAAATAAAATGCTTAATGTTAATCAACATAAACATGTATTAATTTTTTATTAATATAAATTATAAGAGTAATTTAAGAAATATAATAAATATTTATTAAAATATGTGCTTTTGCTTATATAAAAAACAGCAATAAGTAATAGTTTTTCTTATAAATAGAAACAAAGGAGTACCAACTAATAGATCAAAAAAATACTTAGGTAGATTGGATGCATTATATCATTTGTGAATGCAATCTATCCAACAAAAACATAACATTTCAATTATATTAAATATAAATTAATTTTAATATTAATGATAGTAGAGAAAGAAAAAGTAATAAATTTTTTTTAATCACTAAAAAAAGTATACAAACAGAAAAAGTAATAAATTAAATGTACATTATGTTATAAGAATAAATTCAATTTAAAAAATGTCACACAAGATTCTATTTAAATTATTTTAAGTATTTTAATTGAACAGATCATAATAACATGATGCATCCAATTTATTTAAATATTTTTCAGTACATCATATGTTCTTAGAAAAATAATAAATCCCTATAAAATTTTTGTTGGGGGTTGCTGCTCTGAGTCTGTTAGTTTCATTTAAAATTAAGCTTTATGTCTCATTTAAATTTTGTTATTTAAATCTTGTTTACTTTTTTATTTCCGTTTTATTATAGTTTCTTAATTTCATTTGATTGAATTTTACATTTTTCAATTTTATGTTTTGTCCCTCTTAATTTCTCTTTGTTTTAAATTTGTCAGTTGTTTCTAAAAAATATTCACATATTTTTCCTAGCACCGTCAAATTAAGAAATAAAAATACTTAAGATAATGTTGCGTTACTCATCAACGATTTAATTGAGGTCAAATCATAATAATTTTTTGTGTGCCCGAGGACAAATCATAATAATTAAATCACACCAATAAAAAGTTGGGAACATCACAATCAAAGTACCACTAAACAACATTCATGGAGATACAAGATGAACCTAAATGTAATTAAATTTTATTGTGGTAAGATAAAACTACCTGACATACACATGCTCTTTTTTTTAACAAAAAGTTCTCGTTTAAAAAAAATAATTTTTATTTTTATTTTAACAATAATTAATTCTTTCATTGACAACTTTAAAAATTAATTTGGTATGGAGAAAAAAAAATATTGTGATTTAATAAACAAGTCCTAATTCAAAAAAAAAATAAGTCTCATTTTTATTTTAACAACAATCAATTTTTTTATTAACAATTCCAAAATATTAACTTAGAAGTGTTGGGATTCATTGAACAAGTTTTTATTCAAAAAAAAAAATAAGTCTCATTTTTATTTTAATAATAATCAATTCCCCATCATAGCAAATATATATATATATATATATATATATAAAGCAGGTAATTTTGTCTTTTCACAGTAAACTTTAAGTATATTTAGGTCTCTTGGTCATGTAGAGCAAAATCAAAATTATTTAGTCTTGCAGTGTAATAAATATTGTTCAATGATCCTTAGTTATTATTTTTCCAAAAAAGTTTATATAATAGTAGTTTCTTTTTACTTGATTTTAGGGAGAATGATATTTAAAGCCTTTTCAAGAGAATTTATGGCAATAACGGCTCGTAAGTTTTGAATCATATATTATCATATGAAAATATGTATATATTATTCTTAAAAATTGAATCTTAACTTGTTAAATTTTTAAAGAAACTTTAATAAAAAATACACAAGTCAAAGTTTAGCTTTTAACAACATATATATGTTTTTGCAAGGCAATATTCGATATAAAATTTATGGGCTCTTATTGTAATAAATTTTTTAAAAGAGCCTTAAATTCTCCCTTGATTTTACTTGAAGTACATCGTCACAGTAATCAAACATATCCTAATTGCAATTTGCTTGATAGTTTTTATTGGCAGTAACAATATAAAATTTATTTTAAGTCATATTTAAGAACATTGTTCTTAAAAGTAATTCTGGCATAGTTGTTGGAACTCCTCGAGATTAAATGGAACATTTCTATAAAAATAAATAAGATGAAAGAATATAATAAATAATTAATTAATGAAAAAGAAAAATTGAACTCGAGAATAAAACACAAATGAGGAGAAGAGCTGCCCAAAAACTTAAAAGGCTCAGCACCAATCTCATGCACACACGGATATTTATAGGCATAAGCCCCACAATATCGTTGGTATCAAAGTAAAGGGCATTAACCCACCACCATTTAGAGAAATAAAATATTATTAAAACAAACTCTTGAAGGAACGGTTTTGGATGCTGGAAGATTTGAATCACACGGTAATCAAAAGTGATATATAAATAGACTTGAAGGCAAAGCCTAACGTTCTTGCATTACTCCAACATTTGAATAAAATAAAATGGTATTAAAGTGGGCATTTCTATGCCTAAAAAGGGTAAAGTTAATTTGCCTATTCAAATGTAATAATTTAAGGGAATCCGCTTAGTATTAATTGAAATAATGCTTGATTAATGAAATTAAAGTTACGGTTACTTTCTAGTAGAGAATTCGAATTTAAAAAAAAATTCAAAGGATTTTCCAGTTAAATAAATATTTTTTATTTTGAACAAAAATATTTTCACAAAAAGTGCTAAAACTGCATCTACATCATACTCATGAGACCTCTCTTCATCATGATTTATTTACTATCCCACTTTTCTCTTGAGTGCTTTAAACTTAAAACTTGAAGCCTCTTTCACGTAAACAATATGAAACTCATATTTTGATATACTCACGGAGCAATTACAACAGTTTTTTTTTTTTTTTTTTGGGACGTGATGGAATTGGCCATTGCAATAAGCTTTGACCAGTTCAAATCGAAGAGCCGAGCCAACACGGATGTAATACAGTAGTTATATATCAGTGTGGAAGTGGGTTGGAGTGGGAAATAGTCTTTTCATTACAAGCATGTCAGGTCAAATTGATTTTACCATTAATAATGACAGAGAAAAAAAATTAAAAAAACTCGATTTTAAAAATAAAATTATTAAAAATAATAATATATAATATATTATTTAATTAACTTGATGTAATTTTGTTAGATAAAATATGGATGACATGATATATTGAATTTATGTAAGAATTTTTCATTCATATACTAGTATATTACCAACTATTTTGAAGGAATTTAAATAAAATAAATCTAAATCCTCGTTTGACCAAAATCAAGCACTTTTTATTTGACCCATATCCCCTAAATCATACTTTTAGTTTCAGTAAATTCTTTAACCTTAACCATTAAGAATAGCGGGTACTGGTCACCCTCAACCCCGATACCCATAGGCTGAAATCAATGAAGTTGGCCTCCCTTCATTTTTTATCCTTTTTATTTTCTCTTCACTTTCCATCTCAACCATTAAATTTATTTTTCAATAATTCAAATTTAATGTTTTATAAAATTATTATTAAAATGTAAAATTTTATGAAAAATAAATATAATAATAATTTTATAAAAATTAAATCTAAACTATTAAAAAATAGATTCAATAGTTGAGATGGAAAGTGAAGAGAAAATAAAAAGAAAAAAAATGAAGAGAAGTCGGGTCCGAAACCAATATTGGGGCTGATACATCATGAAGGATGATTTGCTGTCATAATACTCCCTCTAGTTTTGAAGATAGAAGCTAATTGTGAGGTTAGCTTTGATCCTAAATGGATTTATTATTTTTTTTCAAACTACTTGTATTGATACTTCAACAATAATGAACCACAGCAATGCTTTAAATATAGCCATTTTACAAAGAGGTATCTTAGAAAAATCAGGGTACATTTCCTACAATTAACTAATTTGCTATCTTTAATCTATACAAATCAGTTAATTAGCGCCCATATCTAGAATAGTAGAAATATCATCATGAGACATGGACGTTGTGGCCAACCTCGATCCCCGCAGCTAGGGATCCATCATTGCCAATATCATATGAAGTTTCCGACACAGCATGGTCAGGCACAGGCTCTTAAAAAAACAATTACCCAACAATCTTGAGTATATATTTATCCTTTGGGTACATCTAAAAAGAAGACTTCTAACTTAATCTGTAGATAACTGTAGATAACTTATGGAGAAAGATATGCAAATAAGCTGGACTAGAAACAACACTACCACTTCGATTGATTGTACTGACTCAATATCCACAAATGGAACACAAACTGACAAGTAGTTTATTGCCTTACAAACTCCTCATAATGCAAGAGTTAGGCTTTTCTTTTCTTTTTCTTTTTTCTAAAATAAAACCACAAGGGGTAATGAATTACGATGGCCCAAAATCAAGGATCACCAAGCCTTTTTCTTTTCTCAACATTGAAGTGCGCGTCCACTAGGCCTGTAATGCCTGCAGTGACCTTTTGACCTGGCTTCACTGGACCAACCCCAGGGGGAGTGCCTGCACAATCACATAAACTATGTCAACGAAGTTAATGTTTCAAAGATTCGCGGATAACAGTGTGATAAATGGCCTCAAGGGGCATGACACTATTTAAGACACTGTTCTGTTTCATGATAGTATAATGTATCGCACAAAATTATTATGGCAGATGAAGTACCAGTAAGTATCACATCTCCTTCAAAGAGTGTAAAGACGGAGCTTATGTGGCTAATTAGAAATGGTATCTTAAAAATCATGTCCTTGGTTGAGCCTTTCTGCCGTATTTCATCATCTACCTGCAGCAACCATTTCTTGCAATCACTTTAAAGTTACCATTACACATTAAATGGATCAGAATTCATCGATATGAGCAGATAAATTATAACTAGCTCAAACCTTTAACCATAATTCTATATCATGGGGGTCTGGCACCGCAGTCTTGGGCAACTGCACACAGTAAACGTTGAATAAGACAGACAGTAATATACTTTAAGAATTTGGCTTAAGTTACAAGTTTGTAGATGAACTGAGATAGAAATGTCAATAGGCATTTTACTACTACAATTAGTTTGCTTTGATTCCCTAGAAATTCATACAGAACCACAACTTCTTGCATGCAAGTTATTCAACTTCTTTCACGGAAGCCCCCATTACAAGTGAGGTGCTTCTCTTAAATCGCATGTGCAGGTGTGAGCATATTAAATTATGAAAGCCATCAATGGCTGAACCTTGCAATGTCAGATTCGGTTCTCTGAACTTCTCCCATACTTCTAAAGTGAACTACCTCTTGCTATATTCTTGTTTTTCAGCATAAAAGAAGCATTAAAGGTATCCTATTTCTTACAACAGAACTAATTGGTGTGAAAGTATCCTGTCCTTTGGCCAAACTCCATGGAAGACCTGCAGACTAACAAATTCCCAAAAGAAAAAGAAACCGCATAAATAACTAGATAAAAAGAATAATAAATTATCACATTTAAGTAAATCTTATGAGGATAAAGATACAAGAACATGTACACAAATCAAAAGAACATAAATAATTCTTACTCTTCATTTGTTCATGTCCCAAAAATTTTAATATCCCAATTCTTTTAACTCCAAAGTAACATCAGACTTGCATCTAGCAAAGCGAAGATGTATACATTAAAAAAACGGATAGGAAAAACTCCATCGTCCAATGGAATCTTCTTGGCTTAAATACCTGCTTCTTACAACGATTTCCTCCAGCAGCCTCACCATTTCATCAATGAGAAAGAAAGTTACACAGCACCATAGACTAGGAAACTATGTTCGTTGATAAATAATAGGGTAAAATTCATCAATGTTAAGACTGATTTGTAAAGTTGAACTCTAACCAACAACTTATTGTTCGATAAATTCTACAAAAAGTGTCTTACTCCTAATTCAATCAACGTTCTTTCGTATTGCCATTTACCACAAGCTTATATGAAATGGACCAATAATTAATCTCTCTCTCACTCACTCACACGTTTGAACAAGTAGTTCGTGTCCACTCAGTTCATTATCTACGACTTTAATTTACACCCAAAGAAAGGAAGAACCAAAAACGCTTACCTTCGCAACATCTTGGAGGTTCCTGGCAGTCATATCAAGTGCAAGTGCATAACCTGATAGACCAAAATGCAGTTTCACTTCTTTTATAATATCAAACAGATAAAGAACAAGCATATAAGGCTGTATAGAATAACAATCATAATCATATTCCCCTTTTCAACAGAGATATCTTTGATGACATGGAACTCGATCACAGCTGATGTTCTCAAAATTCTCTCGAAAACATCAACAGCGTAAGGTTATAAAATGTAAGTGGCATTTCATGGGAGAAAGAGCATTGCCTCCAACATAATCCATAGCAGAAGACTCGGGCACATCACGAGCCTTCTTCCCGATCACCACTGCCAACTCGACCTCATGATGCAGAGAATCCACGTTGTGTGGGATTTCGATTGTTCCGCCATTCTCCAAGTAGGACGATGTCGGTTTCAGAAACAAGACGGGCTCCTGAAAAACACGAGGACTCAGGTTTCTGACAGAGTAGCCTAAACTATTTAGCTCTAAATGCGAAAAATTACAACAGAAGGACTGGATATTGAGTGAAATTAACATTCTACAGCATGGAGATCGAATATTACAAGTCGAAGGGGCAGCTCCCAGTTCCAGGATTTTCCCAAGGAACCAAACAGAAAATGGAGAGCAAAATACCTTAGGAACGGCGTTGCCGAGTTCCTTAGCGTGAGCAGCATAGTTTCTACCAACAGCGACGATCTTAGTGCCAACTTGCAGCAGCTTCTGGTAAGCTGTCGTTGCCATCGGTCTGAACTGGACCGGCTGCTTCGAAGCTTTTGCCTTCAGCTATTTCGGTTTCGGCCGCTGATCGCCTGCCGCAGTAGACTCGTGGACTCCGGGGTCGGTGTTATGGACCATTACCCGCGACATGTCGTTTTACGGCCCCTTACCCGCGACTTGTGCTGTAAATAATAGGAAAACTCACATCTAGGCCCTTTCTAGAGAATTAATTACGTATAAAAGATTAAGAATAGATTATTATTAAAATAAAAATATAATTTTTTTAAAATAAAACTTATTGTTAGTTTTTATCTGTAATTAATTTCTTTAAAAAAGACCTAAATGCAATTCTCCTTAAATAATAAGCTGATTAAGCTCACATTGCTGCAATTATTTGTAATTTTTTTTGTATATAATAATTGGTTGCCGGCCTTTGTTTGAGTTGGACGTGATATTAATATGGGAAAATAGCAGCGAGGACCACTATACCAAATTAATATCAGTCAAAAATTAATTAACTTTAAAATTATACTCCAGTCATTTGATCTTGACGATATTAATTTATTAGGTTAAATGATGAAATTACCTTTAAAGTAAAAAAAAAAAACCCTCTATTATCACCAATGCCGGACTAGAGGTTGTTGAAGTCCCTACCACCAGCAAGTTCACCGGAGCTTTGGCACTAGCAACATTTTTAAGCAAAAATAATTAGTTTAGGCAGCTAATGAAAGGTTTAATCCCATGATCTCTTTGCCATCTAAAAAGGTTGATGGCCACTTTAATTATACATGGCAAAAAAAAAAAAAATACAACTAGTAAACTAAGCTTTTAACTACTTACATATTATAACATAATAGAGTGTTGTTACTTCCTAAATAACATTTATTATTTTACTAATATTACTTGTTAATCTGACATGAATAATTATAAATTAAGAATTTTAAAACTTCATGCATTTTACTTGTTAAAAGTCCAAATGTATTGTTAATTATGAATAGGTTGTTGTCAAAATCCAAACTAATACTTTTTGATGAAGGACTAATATTTATATAATTAAGCACATCTAATCTGTTTTTCAAACATGTTAAAACCCGAATCATCTGTTGTTAATTTATAATGAGTTGTTGTTAAAACATGAATAAATACTTGTTGATGAAACATTAACAAGTGCAATTATACCTATGCTATATGCTTTTCTTGCTTGTTAAAACCTGAATGGACTATTGTTAATTTGAAATAAATTGTTCTTAAAAGCTGAATGAATATTTACTGACGAAAGAATAGCACATGTAATTATGCCCATTTTATCTATTTTTCTAACTTGTTAAAGCCTGAATGAAAATTTCTTAATTTTAAATGAGCTATTGTCAATATCCAAATGAATGCTTGATGTTGATGATTAAATAACAAGTCATTCTAAATTAACAACAGTTTATTATGGCTTTAATAAGCTAGAAAAATATATATGATGGGCATAATTATACGTGTTAGTCCTTTATCAATAAATATATATTCGAGTTTTAATCACTTATTCTAAACTAACAACATTCCATTCAAACTTTAATAAGTTAGAAAAATGAATGAGATGAATTTAATTGTATAAGTGTTAATCTTTCATCAATAAGTATACATTCAGGTGTTCACAACAGTTCATTCAAAATTATCAAAAATTTATTCAAGTTTTAACTAGTTGGAAATACTAATAGGATTGGTTTAATTGTATGTGTTAGTCATTCATTAATAAGTATCTGTTTTTGCTTTGACAATAATCTATATGTGATTAACAACAATACATTCAAACTTTTAACAAGTAAAATACATAAAGTTTTAAAGATTATAATTTGTAATTGTCCCTATTAAATTAACAAATAACATTAGTAAAATAATAGTGAAGGTTTTTTTTTTGTTACGTTAGGGGCATTTTGATCTTTTAACTTAATAAATTAATATTAATCAAGGACCAAGGGATTGCAGTATAATTTTAAAGTTAATTGATCTTTGATCGATATTAATTTGGCACCGCAATTATTGGCTTCTTTTTTCCCTATTAATATTAGAAGCAAGATACCATGTTGGTGATTAATAGAAAATAAACTTATTAGTCAAGGCTTATAAAGGAATGATAGTTACGGAATGAGTTACTGATTACTCCCTCCTATCCATAATATAAGGCACTTCTTATTGAAAATTGTTCCCTGGCCAATCATTTTTATTATAAACAATGTAATTTATAATGAATTTTTTTATTATCATATTATTTGCATATTCACTATGGTAATTGCATCGGAGGATAAATCATAACGATTATCTTAAATATCCTTGGTCAATCATTTTTATGAAACAAAGATGAAGTAAGACTAGTATAATTTTAATTGATGCCTAAAGATACGAATTAAAATCATAAGCATTCATAAGAGTATATAACGCTGGACTAACTTATCATTAAAAAGCTGTATGGATCAAATCATAAGCATATCTCATATGTAACTATGTCACCAAGCAATTTTAATATAAGATTATCATGGATCCTTACGTGAAGATTGCTAAGCTTTGACTTAATCAAAAGGTACTTTTAACTAGATGATTATAAAGGCTATAATTCAGTTTTGTGGATTTCATGCAGAGGAATGTAAATAGTTGAGATGAAATTTGTCCCTCACGATAGTAGAGAGATGTTACCAAGCCTCTCGATGGGCGAGATTGAAAAATGCATAGCCATCCTGTAATGGAAAAGGGTTTTCATTTTTATAGTCAATCTACTCAGGGATTGAGAAAGTAATGATCACGTAAAGGAGGATGACATTTTCATAGTTCATACTTGACCGAAATATTACATGATAAAAGAGATGCAATATGATTGTATGATAGGCTGTATTAAATTACTGATCCCTATATAATTTGGATAGTTGCAACATCTTGCTAGAGATTATTTACAACTTGGGAACTAATAATGCTATTAGCTTACTGCCAACTTCATATAGACCTACATGGTCGCATACAAGAATGGCCCAATTTGAATTGTAATATCTAGATTTACTGAATCTAATTTGTGCCTAGATTCAATGAATACAACTAATATGATATATTTTATGTGAGAGAGAGAGAGAGATAAAGATAAATATTTATATGTATATATAATCTAAAATTTAAATTTAATATTATATATGTGTATATTATAATATTATATAATATTATATTATATTAGTATTAAATTTATTTCTATAAGATAGGATAAATTTAATAACTAATATGATATAGAAAGATATTATACAAGTTTTAAAATTTGAATTTATGAAATAAAGTCAAGTTGAAAAAAAAAATCTTATAAGATACGATATCTTAAAATTAATTTATAGAAATAAAATAAATTGTTTTATATTGGCTCTTAAATGAATTAAACAAATAATTTAAATTATTCTATTGGATGGATTTAAATTTAAACTAACCTATTTAATCTAATTTTGAAATTGATAAGGATTAATGAAGAAATCAAATCTTCAAAATTAATCCTTATTAAATTCAAATATCTTTTTAAAAATTAGATAACCAACCTCTATATAAGATATAGCATAAGATTTTTTTAGAAAAAAGCTAATGAAAAGTAGAGACTAGAGAGAGTCATTCTCATCCTAAGAGAAAAGAGAAAGATGTTGTATGAGAAAAACAAAGAAATCGTGATTTCTTTAGGCTTAAACAAACATTATTGTTCGAGTAAGAAAGTTGTTTGTATGGATACTGGTAGAGAAAGTTGGTCATGGAGAATCAATTCCTTAAATTCAAATGAAAAGATCCTTAAGATTGTAAACATAAAAGCAAAATTGTATCTACTTTAACTTAAACAATGCCGTCCACTTTGTGAATGGGATTGAAATTTTTAAATTTTAATTCTTTTGCTATACCTCTAATTCCAACACTTCTAACCCCCTTACTAAACCAAAGAGGAGTGGTTAAGTTATTTTGTGTGAAAATATAATAAGCTTTTCAATTTTTTTCTTTTTTAAATAAAAATTTTTACATTTACATTACATTGTCTGTCATAGTTAATGAATTTAAATAAAAATAATATTAAAAAACACAATTAATATCTCACTAAATATCTTAAAATAAAAACAAAAATTTTTTTAGAAAACACTCTGCAATAAAAACTTGAGAGAGTATATCCTTAAAATTATTTAAAAAAATGTAACTTTCTAAATTTTTTCTCAATTAATAAATATTGTTGAGTAAAATTTAAAAAATAAGTATTAATTAATCCAGACTTCGTCCAAAAAAAAAACTTTTAAAGGAGTATTTTAGAAAGAGAAGGCACCCTGATGGCCAGATCAAAGGAATAAATTTTACATATCCATTATAATCCAGAGTTTCAATGGCTTCCAAGTAGCAATATAACAAATGGTTTGCAGTTCAGACAATTAAGATATGATATTTGTCAATGACAAGCGGAGTAAAACTAGGCACAAGAACATGTTGGGGTTCACTCTTTGAAGGCGATGAACGATTCACTGCCATACTAGTCTCTCCAATCTGAGATACACGACGAGACCTGCAAGTTTAAGCAATCTCTTCTTGTTGAAGCCGTGAAAGTGATTTCCTATCACTGCCAAACATTTCTAAGATTATAGGATTGAAACAGTTCTCCCTTGACATTTTCAATAGTATTCGCAATCAAACTACTCACCGCTGGCGAAAATTGGAGGAGTGCCTACCAAAGCCAAGCAAGGAAGGACTTGAACAGCAACCAGTGAAGTGACTAGCATTCTCAGAAATTTCAGTGCTTGACTGCATTTCATCCCAAAAATAATAACAATGAACCAGTCATGAATATGAAGTCATGCCATTTTATGTAGGAAGATATGATGTGCCATTACAGGAGATTTAATCTTCTAACATGTTTCTTCATTGAGCAATATAAAATGGTGATACATAACTGATATGCAGACTTACAGTTTGCTTCTGTAATCCTTGCATAGCAGATATCTCCGGAGGCTTTTCTCCTCTGTTTCTTCTTTCATTTACCAGAAGAATTGCACATCTGCAGGTGAAGTACAGAAGCAACACTCCGAGAGAAAAGATTATCAAAAACTCGATGATGATGGCTGATCCTAAGACTGTAACCACATTTACCATGAGCTTGTAAGTCGTGAAAAATATATACCGTTGTTATCTAACTGAACATATAAAATCTGTTGCTAACTCTTACCAAATGTCTAAAAGCTAGAAAAAATATAAAATAAAATTCTACTACTTACCATGAGCAAGAAATGAACTCATTGGTCGTCTTCTCATCAAGTTTACCATAGCCTCAGCATATAAAGGCATTGACATCCCTTCAGAACAATCAGGATAACATCCATAATTTCCCATATCATTTAATTTCAATGTCAAAACAGCTCCATGCTCACCTCCCTTCACACAAAAATCCAAGAATTTACTGTGACAGTATAAGATCATGGATTTACTTGGTATATTGTACCGAAGATTCACACTCTCAACATTGCTTCAGCTTGATCTTTCATTCCCACACATGATCATAATGAGACATAACTTTTTAATACATGCTTCTCCTTAAGCTTACTGAAAACACTGTTGAGTATACTTTTAAGCATGTGCTGCTGAACTGATACGGTAATTATATATATAAAGAAGTTAGATAGTGACTTAAGAGCAACGGTGGTTGTTAGTGAATGTTGGATAAATATAGATGGATATGGATGTGTGTGTGTGAGTGACTGATCTTAATGAATGATAAAGCAATTATGCGTAGGCAGTAGGACTTTTGTTTAAAAGACAGTGTCATGCTCATGATTAAGGCCAAATGCTAAACTCCAAGGACAGGAAGATTACATACATGATAGAAAAGTTGCTGCATAACTGTGTTGCAGTCGTTGACTGTTCCCTGAAATCTAATTCCATTGGCTCTGACCATAAAATGCTCTGATATAGTAACATATGTCAAAAGAGGCTGCCACTGGTTACTATTTCCAATCTTCAGTTCAGTTGTGTTGATCAAATAAGAAGGAAGAGTTGTTACTAATAAGCCATCATTTACTTCCAAAGAGAAAGTCACCAGAAATTGAGCCTCTCCGCCTGAAATATGATCTATCATCAGCAGAACGCAAGTTAAGCAGATAAATCATTAGATTCTGAAATTTAGATGACCAGGGAAATTGTTAGATGCAAACTCTTGATCTTAAAATTACAACAACAGACATTTATTCCTTGTTATAAAGAAAATTGTCAAACTGAAAACATTAGCTCATTTAAAATGTAGTTATCACTACTTCAAGCAGATATTAAGGATTGAAGATCATAAAAATGTAGAGTAGCATTCTTTTATCTTCCAGTTTCCAGAGAACAATGTTATGTCCAAAATTTGCATAGAATAATTCGATGATTTGATTTCTATGCAAGCCATGTCAACTCGCAAGAATAAACTGATATCTAATCATGTTAAATTTTTACTGATTGATTTCAATTTCACCTGCCTAGAAATGATTATTCATCTGTTTCATGTAATTGGATCTTTTTCGTGCAATCTGTAACTCCTGAAGAAGCAGCAAAATATCAATCCAAGACACATTTTCAACCTACCAGGGAAGGTAAGAAGATCAGGATCTCCAATGAAAAAGTCAAAGTTGTCTGAGTCTTTGTCAAAGATGACTGACTCGCCTTTGTTACCCTTCAATATGATAAAGTAAGGGACCCTAATAAATGGCGGATCATTGATTGGATCCACAAAAATTGGAACATCCAACGCATTCATTCCATACTTATTCTTGGTGGACACTCGAATGACATCCTTACCACAAAAATTCTCATTTCTGAAGGTAAATAATAAAAACACCATGTTAAATATTCTATTATATAATAATTGTAAAACTAAACACCAAAATACAATATTTTAGAATCAAAGGCATATTCCTAGAAGTCCATCTGCATTTATCAAATTGCAGATTTCCTTCACTAGTTACCTTCAACAATGCGCCATCATATCATGTGCAGTCTCTATTAACCAGAATAGTTCCACGGACTATCTTAATGACATCATACTATTGACTATAGTGGGATGAAAGTTACTTCATTTAACAAACTGATAGATTTTGGAATAATGATCATCAACCAAGAGGTCACAGTTGTGAATACAGGTTTTAAAAATCACTAACAGATGAGGTATCAAATTCCAAGAATATCCCAAATTAATGCAGTTTGCCTTCAAACATCATGGGATTTGGGTATCTGTTGCCTTCCTGAGCCCAAAATCTCAACCCTTAATTTCGGAGAATTAGATGAAATTGCTCTAACCATTAGCTGATCAATGAAGGGCTAAGATTTTTGACATTACGAGACAACAGACACCCCAAATACCAATTTGACATATGAAATATGGGAACATAAAAAAAAAAAAAGGCAAATGAATTAACTTTAGAAAAACAAGTAGAAGGATATTACCCTAGATACTGGATTGACTGAAGCGCAAAATTAATTACTTCCACAGAACCTTCCAACACTAAATTGTTGGCTGTTTCATTTCCTGTATTAATAGTAAGTTCACTCCACATAGGTTGCCCAAATTGCATTACCATAGGAGACAGAAGTATACTTCCAGATCGTACGCTCAGGTTGACAGAAATATTTTCCATTAAATCTGAATAAGTTATCTCAAACCCAATGAAACCACTGCAAGGAGCCACAACAACAAAAATTAGGAAGAAGATTAAAAAGTTGAAATCATTAATAACCGTAGTGACTAGGCTGTAATTACCCAAATCTAGGACTAGTCAGATCTTCTGTTGCTTGCAGTTGACTTGGAACAGAAGCAAGCTGAGGTGGGACACTGAGAACAGATATATACACAGAAGCAGTAGCTATGTTTCCGTTTATATCGGATATCGTGTACCAAAAAGAATCGTTTCCATAATAATGTTCATAAGGAGTAAAACGAAATATTCCTCCATTCTGTATAAGTGAACCATGATCTGGCTGGTAAAACACCACAGATTAGAAAAAAAAAATCACTTAAGATTATTAACAAATTAATGTTACATACATTTTGATTTTTGAACATGTTGAAATTATTACTAACTTGAATCATGCACCAATACATTCAATTTGCTCATTTTAAAAATTTGGACTGTAACATCAAAAGTTGATTGAAACATTTTGCTCATCACAAGTGTAACCACGTTACAATTAAATTATTCATCCTCCAAGGGATTGATATTTGATACGGCAAATTATTCATCCTACAAGTAAATTATCATTTGCCTCTCAAAAGGTAATTGATAATCATCTTACTTTTGAGAGATCAACGATGCTTGCATTATCCCCAGCAAAATTATCATTTGCTAAGACATCAACCACAATTGACTCATCCTCCCAAATAGATACTGTGTCATTGTTGGCTTTGGGAAAATATTCACCTGAAATTAATTCAGAAGAATATGCTCAGAATATATTAATCTTGACATCACAAAGAAATTATAAATTTGAAGTTAATTTTTTGAATATACAAATGATTAAGTTTAAAACACATAATTTGTTACCAAACATCTCAAAATAAGTTAAACAATCAGAGATACGTATGAAATATCTAACTGAAAATGTAACTATTCCCCTGATTCAGATGGTAAGGAAAAATGTGGGAAGGACCAACGGGAAGTTCAAACTCTAAGTCTCTTAAGAGACAAAAGAAAGGAGGGAGAATGACAGTTAGACCCAAAATATTAATTTAATCACAGTTATGTCCCGACAAAATTTTTAAACTTACTACTGTACACATTGACACTGAAAGGGCATCGGGAGAAACGCTTGTCATCATAGGAAACACAAATCTCGTAAGTGCCAACATCTTTGGCCATATAATGGCAGCCATATGAACCATCCTTATAATCCACAATGTCCCAAGTTAGAAATACAGAACTATTAGTTGAAGTAATCTCCAATTTCAACCTTGATTGTTGTGACAGGACAGGGTTTGAAAATGAATCCAACAGATTTACTACTATTTCATTTTTTGACAGCTTTGGCACCTTTTGAGGAAACGTCACAACACCTGAAAATAACATGTTTACTTCACCTGGAGCAAACAAAGAACATATACAACCTCAAATGATTGATAGTATAAAAAAATATAAATGTGCCGAATGTCAATAGAATTGCAACATAACTCACCTAAATTTATGTATTTTAATCTAAACATTAAACACCCATCGATCATTTGCCTACATAAAATTCTTGCATATTGGCAAGGCTACATCTCTTATAATTTGTTCTGGTTGGCTCGGAGGTTTACCATGGAAAAAGGCCCCAATTTAAAGCCTACTATGTGTCTCACTAAGCTAGAAAGGGGTTAGATTACAGCAAGTGAACCATGGTGGAGCTAGTTTCATTAGTCTAGATGGTTTTTATCCTTGCATTGAGAAGTTTTTCACATTAATAGTTTTAGTGTCTCTTGTTACGATGGTGCTATTCAATTTTTGCTATGTATTTGTTTAATTTTTTCTTAAAGATTCTTACAAGTGATAATAATTTATTTCTTCTGCATATAAGTCATTGGATTGCGTTGTTCTCATAAAAAATCCTAGAAGTTAGTGTCTTTTTATTCTTCAATGCTCTAATGAGACCATTTAGTTTTCTTCTCTTAGGGTTTTAAAAGAGCAAAAACACATAATTAACTCGATATCATGCAGTTCAGGAATACCTGGTCGCACTTCTTTACTGATCGAATGACCTCCATTTAATAAAATATTTCCACAATATATACAAATCTCATAAGTGCCGCTTTTTGTAGGTATATATTCCACTCGAAAGGCACTGGCCACTACAGAGTTCTCACTCTGATTGGACAAAAATCAAGATAAAATATCATTATAATTTCAATTAACTGTTTAACTACAGTTTTTATCTGTATGTCTTACGTTGTTACTTAGCTCTATTGATGGTGATGGGGCAATTTCAATGTGACTAACACCATCATATCTCACTCTTGAAGTTGTCCTGCTTCCTACCACAAAAATGCACACATCAGTACAACGATTCATAAAATATTAAACATATGTAATTAATATATTAAATGGTTTATAATAGCACATACCGGTGGTGTTTAGCACGGGATATATAGTAGGGGAAATACTGTATGAGTCGTTTCCTCTAAAAATCAGAACTTGAAATAATTCTGCTTCAACAGGGGAAGGATATTGATATATGTCATTTAAATACACAGAAAATTCTGTCAACACTCCTGCCACTGAATCATTTAAACCTGATCCATTCACAACACTTTTCACCCCATCACAGTAACCTATTCAGAAAGGAACATGGTAGAGAAGTTGTATTAGCATATTAAATGAATTGAAACAAATCACTATATCTCAGAGTCTATTATTATATGCGAGAACTAGAAGGCAGATTCTGTTTTTGCTTTGTTTTGTTTTGTTTGGCATAAAAGAGAGAGGCTGGTTTGACAGAAAATTTTATCAGAACCTGAGGGGTAAGGAGCAACAAAATAATGTGATAGACTAAAGGAACAAAAGGAAGCGACAGAGAACTAAAAGGATTATAAAACCAATAAAATTTCTATCAAGAGACTAGGAAAGTAGATTTTACCAACATAAACGGTGTAAGCATATGGCATACTAAAAATGCTTTTGTTATGCTTGCTATCATATATTGTTAGAAAGAAATTCCCGGGTTCCAAATTGCTGAAAGAAAACAATTGAATCCCAGCATCCACTTCTTCAAAATGAAGATCTGGTACAGGTATTGACAGATTTGTTTCCCTTTCAACAACTTCAGCATCAAATTCATAAAGTCCTGGAACCAGATTTCCATACTGATCTTGCTGATGTATAAGAATTTCCATCTTGGAAGCCAATTGCCATGCTTTTGGTTTGAAGTTCCATTTGGCCATACAGTTAGAGATATCTATAGGTCCTGGTATTGTAGAGAGAGGAAAAATAATGATAGTTGAAGAACAGACAGTAAAAATGCAAGCATGTAACAAAGATTCTAACACTATAATCTTCTCCTGTGCCACAAAGACCACATGTTGATAAAGTTTGGTCTTCCAAATACATGACATAAACTAACAAATGGCACGAAAAAAACACAACCTGGGTTCACCTTCAATGGTAATGGAGAACCATTCAATGTTTGATTTCCTCCTTCCACACGCAACGAAAAGTTGCCAGCTTTTGTCACAATAAACTCAAAAACCATATAGTCAAACTCGTTCCAGCCCATGTTGCTGATATTTAGTGCACTAGCAAAGGAACCATTTTCATAAAGCACAGACAAATTAAAGTCAGGTAAATAGGAAACTTCTGTTGATCGAGATATATTGTTCCCAAATGCATCTTTGAGGAGTATCACAATAGTAGCTTTCGCACCAGCTTCAAACTCATTTTTCAGGCCCTTCCATGAAGCAACACATACAGATGGATACATGTTCCCTTCAACAGTGTAATAGCATCTTGCGTTAGACACTTTACATGAAAGAATAAAACACATAATGGTCAACTTCAATATCCATTAACTTTCTCAAAGATATTCTGCATCATTTTACAGCTTGAAAGTTTATTCTTATTCCAATTGTATCCTTCCACAGGTGCTATTGAGGAGCAAGTGTTCTGTGGAGTTGAACCATATGCTAGTTATACTTGGAAGACCGAAACAGGGTTTTACTTAGAACTAATTAAACTATAATATAATTACGACATTAAAATATAATGGAGGAGGCATAAAATTCTCTACACATTCAGTTTCAAATGACGAACTCACAAATGCTGCAAAATCAAAGTGATTCTTACTCTAGCAACACTCATTTATGCATGGATCAACTCACTTAGGGGAAGAAAGTTTCATCAAAACCTGGCTCAACTCGGAAGTGCAATGATGAATCATAAACTTGATAAAGTTCCTCGTCGATGAGCACATTAAATACTCCAACCCTGATAGGAGTAAACATAATGCTCCAATTATTTGGGTCCCCTTCGAAATTTGCCAACACCGTAGATACGTAGGAACTATTCCCCACCTTTCCGTTCACAGTGAGCCTGGGCTTGAAAGCGATTCTATCAATCTTGTCAGCGTTTTCAAGTACGGTGACCTTGATCGCTGCAGCATCACCGGCCCGAAATGCGTCCTTATCATCCCACCAACTGAAAGCAAATTTAGGCGAAGGGGTTCTGTCTGTCACAAATTAAAACAAAAAAATGGGTAACAGAAAAGCCCAAAAAGATTGCTTAATTCTTTGTTAGAAGAGAAGAAAGAACGTGGGTTTTTACTGACATGAAGAAGGAGATATTACGAATAGAGAGAAAGCAGAGAGTGAAAGGGCAATGAGACTGAGGGTGAGGACCGCCATTTTTGTGAGGTTTTCAGGGGCTGGAATTGAGTTGAGTTATGTATGCCCATATGGAAGTTGCAGTTCATGAAATTTTGAATTGTGGCGGTTGATGGCAGTTTAACAGTTACCTCGGCAAGCAGGAAACCGTTCACTGCTAATCGGTATATCGGCAGTTCCACAGTCCACATTACCATTACTACGACTACGATTTATGATTATGATTTACGAATAGCGAAGTCTTTTATGGATGTAATACTCTCCCTAATTTTATTTATAAATTATTTTTATCAACCTTATCAAAATTAATATAATAAAAATATAAATAAAATAAATAAAATTTTAAATATAATTTTTAAGTAAAAAATAAAAAATAAATAAATGACATAATAATTTTTTATTTCTTTTTTTTAAGGATAATTTAAGAATTTTAATAAATTAAATAATTTCATCAATTAATAACTTATAAAGTAAACAAAACCATACTTTTAAAAAGTAACTAATATTTAAAATTAAAAGGGTATTTTTGTAATAATGGTAGTGGTATTCACACGCCACTTCATTTTTTTTTTTTGTTGGGAGAAAGCATAAGGAGGTTGAAATTAAATAGTTCTATTATATATATATATATATATATATATATATGATAGAGGAAAGCGGAGTTCATTATTATTGTCCAAAAAGCATATCGAGCTTACTAATTTTGGTGGAAGATTGTAAATATATATATATATATATATATATAATTGTTTGTAAAAATTTTAGATAAAAATAATGTGTGTATTTCAGAATAAATCAATATAAAATAATAACAAACTTCGCTATTTATAGACCACGGGAATACAAACTAATTTTTCAAACTTTTCACAATATTGAGACCTATATCTATTTTTTTGAAAAATTAATATTTTAGTCCTTCAACTTTTAACTTACTTGTAATTCAGTCCTCAATTATGACTCGCTGCGACTCAATCCTTCAACTATAACTCACTACAATTCAGTCCATTAACTTTTGATTAACCTATAACTCGGTCTTTATTTTTTAATTTTTCTCAAAAAAATTTATCAAATAAGAGGGATAAAAATGCTCATATATTATTTTAAAATACCCTTTCTTATTCATTAATGTGAGATATAAGCTAGCATGAAAAAAAAAATTTAACAAAAGTTAAGAGATTAATTTGTAAGTGATTTAAAAATTGAGAGACTGAGTCATAGACGAGTTATAGTTGAAGGATTAAGTCACAACGAGCCATAATTGAGAAATTAAGTTATAAATAACTTAAAAGTTGAAGGACTAAAAGATTAATTTTTCTTTTTTTTTTAATTTAGTAGAGTTTATTATTTTTATTTTGGACTATCATTAAGCATAGTTAGGCTTTATATTAGACAAATTTTTGCTGCCAAAAAAAAAACAGTTTAATATTATTGAGTAGAGTATATTTTTTGAAGTAAATTTGTGCTTTCATTACACAATATAATATATATATATTGTCCAATTTAAGAGACAACCCTACACAAAATCGACCCTAAACAAATTCAATATTCCTTTTTAGTTTTTCAATCAAGAAATTAGCCGTGCAAATGTGTAGCCTGAATTTTTATATTTCCGAGACGGAATGTAGGATCTGAGGCTTAGACAAACCATTAGGTTTTTTGGGCATATATATACCCACGATGATATTCACGAGAATATTAGGAATAACCTAATTTCCAAAATGAAAACCCCATTTCAAACAGAAAGATTAACGACATATAGTCTCTTCACTGGATATGGAACCTGACAGATCTGTTCAGTGAGCAATTCTTGGAGCCATCACTCGAGCCCTAACATCTATGAACCAGTATGAAATGTGGAACTGGATGGGGTAAGTCCTCCTTTATGTCAACAATATCATCTTACACTTGATCTTAGCCAAAGGGCTGAGAAAGTTATTCAACACTATTATCTCAAGTTCAACAAAAGAAGCTCTGGATTTTCGATTAATTTTTTCCACTCATTGCAAAATCTGGCAACGGTTGCTCCATCCAGCACTCTATGATCTGCACCGATGTTAACCTGAAACAACAATAATATCCCAGTTTGTATGGTCAGATTTCATGAATAGTTATAACAAATTAACAACACTTACACATTCTTAAAATTTGGAATTATATAGATTTATAGAACAAAACTAAGGGGTGGTTTCCTAGGTACTTGTTAATTGTTATCAATTTCTTAAAAAGCGTGTGGCATTAGGATTTTTTCCAAAGGCGTCGATGGCGAAGTACTAGGCCGCAAGAACTAATTTTTTCCTGGTTTTATAGTCCTTTTTTTTGGGGGGGGGGGGGGGGGAGGAGATTTGGGACTATCTTTTATCAATAACTTCTTAATGTTTATGGTAAGGGGAAAAGAGTCGCTAAAATTTCCTGAAGATGATAATCGGGGAAACTTATGTGACACTAATCAAGAACTCTGTTAGTTTTCATCTTTAATTTCAACCTAAAATAAAAGTAGCAACAAGTGTCTAATATGAGTTCATCCGTTACATCGACCTCTCAATAGAAAAGATGCCATGTCCTGCGTCTAGAAACCATTTCTTTCACAGAAAAGTATCAAGGGTGCCGTCTAATAATTGCTATCATGCTCTATAAGAAATTAAAAAGAGTATATATGATATGGTAAGAAAAGACAACCCGATATGTGTTATTTATGGCTTTCTTATGCAAAGCCATTTTCCTTTCTTCCTTAGGTTTATTTATTACAAGCATATACTTTGGTTTGATGAATCCAAGAGTAGGTGTACAGCATGGGTTTGCTTTGCCTAAGCCATACATGCTTCTGTTTCATGTGGAATTCTTATAGAACTCGTCCTTTTTTCCTAAGAAGGCTTGGTTTGGATAGGGAGGAAATGTGAAGAAAATAGGAAGAGAATATTAGGAAGAAAAACTTCCAAAAGTAGTAAAAAAATTTACTATTTTTGGGAGTTTTCCCTCATACTCTTTCCTCTCTAATTTTCTTTCCATCTGATCAAAGGGTAAAAGTTTGTCTGTTCATTTGCATGAGCAAATCAAAGGAAGACTTACAGTCATGAGTGATGCAGGATACACACTCCCATCATCTGCAAATTGCGGAACTTTCTGAATTCGACCAATTGCAATAATGGATACTTCAGGCAGATTGAGAAGTGGGGAGCCAAACTTCCCACCAATTGCCCCGATGTTGCTTAAAGTAATTGTCCCCCCACATATATCCTCAGGATTAAGCTTGTTATCCGATGCCAGTTGTTGCAGTCTTGATAGTTCTTTCGTTATCTAATACACAAATTTAATAAAATAAACAAGAGGCAGAACAATGTGATTTATTGGAATGAAAAGATCATCATTACTTCAACGGTGCTGTAAGCACACAGGGACTCTTGTACTAACAGATGATGCAAGCAAATGTAGTTACAAGCAAAAGAATGGTAATTATACAAGAGCGCAGCTACAGAGAAGCAGAGGTAAATGATAAACCTAATGCAGCCACGTAGATCAGTTTTTATAAACTTGTACTAAGAAATGAAGTAAGAAATATACATTTTCACTAAACTTAACATGTTAACAAAATCATGCACCGCAAAGCACAAGTACTGCTCCTTGAGAACAGCTGCAGAAGCCAGGCAAAAGACATATTGGCTCTTTTTTTTCCCCTTCCCCTTGTACAGAGTCTAAAAAAAAAGCCCCTTACCCCTTCTCCAATGTGAACCAACTTTAGCAACCAAAACAATCACATTAAAGACAGAAAAATCACAAACGTAGTTGAGATATACTCGTTCAAGCACTTGGCTCATGAATTAAGAAGGAAAACAAAAGGCATCAGACTTGCACTTGGATCATGATATAGAATTCAAGTATAAAGCACTTTTAGAGTAGATAACGTACACAAACAACCATTAGAGTGCAAACTAACCTCCAAGATGGAAAGAGATTGAACATTTTTTATGTTTGGTACAACTAAACCGCTTGGAGTAGCCATAGCAATTCCAATGTTGTGCGAACCTATAGCCAAAAAGTCACAGCATCAAATCTGGAATGCCGCTGCCTCAAATTAAATTATCAACTTATCAGTTGCCAGAAAACAAACAAGCAAGATTCATGCAATAATCCAAATATAACAACAGCCAACTAAGCATCAAAGGAGAATAGGTTAGGTCGTAAAGTATATATAAATTTAACAACTTTGACTTTTCTTTGTTTAATTTTGGTAATTAGACTCTTAACGATTCTCATTTACAAAGAAGAAATGCACACAATAAAACTCGGATTATTCCACTGCTATATATAAATCTTAAATTTAAAAGTTCATACTTCAGATAATTTTCCTTGAATGCAAATATTTCACCAAACAACAAAGCATTGCATTTATCCTATATGAATTTAAACACGATCAAGCTTCAAGTTCAGGGAAAAGCAGCGAAAATATAGCAATAATTTACACACAAGTGTCTATGATACAAACCTTTGAGTACGACCTCCACTAACTCTTCATTGAAGCAACTATTCATCAAGGGATACTTTATCAGGGCCATTGAGAGTGATTTAATTAATAAGGGAAGGAAAGTGTGCTTGACATCTGGAGAAGTATTATTATTCTGAAAAGATGTTTTAAGCTCCACCAGAGCATCACAAGTTATCTCGTCTACATAATAGAAATGTGGAACTTTGGAAGCCATAGACATTGTTTTTACCATTGCTCTTTGAAAACCTCTGCAAAAGAAAAGTAGAAACAAAATCTATATTAATCTTTTAAGCAAGTTCTTTGGAATTCATCCAAGTCTTGTCATAAAAAGTAATGCAAATCACATCCTTTCACTCCTACAGCAGAGTTTATCACACTTTTCTCCAACAACATGACAAGCCTTATCCCACTAGGTAGGGTCAGCTACATGGATTAATTTAACATAAATGGTAGTGGTAAGAATTAGCTTCTTACCTAGTTTAATATATTTCACACATGTAGTCAAAAGAAAATTGATTAAAAATTTGAAATTTTTACCTAAGGGGAACAATCCTGTCTTCAAATGTCCATTCAAATTTAGCCGTTGCATCACAGTTGTTCCTTTCCACAGGCTGGGACTGATTTCCACAATCAGCATTCAAGGGAACAGATTGATGTTTAACGATTCCCTTCATGACAGCATATTTAAGCACATCTTCTTTTAAAACTCTACCATCTTTTCCGGTTCCACATACATCATTTATGTCTATACCATGTTCTTTTGCTAGACACCGCACAGCAGGTGTTGATAGAACCCTACCTGGATTACCATTTTCATCATCAGAGCTAGATGACTCTACATTTTCTGGATCTCTAGAAATGATTGCTGGTGATGAAGACTCATTAACCATTAGCTTTAAAAGGGGCTCCCCGACCTGCAATTAACAAAAGCACAATTACATCCGAAGTCTCCAATCACAATACAACGATGATGATGACAAAAAACTTTATCCGACTAAATGAGGTTGGCTATATGAATCGCACAACCATCATACTTTATCAACAATCAACTATTAAAAAATGTCATTCTCCAATCACAATACAAAAGGCTAAATATTTTTTCCAGGTCTGATTAAGTAGATTTTTTTTTTTAAAAATATCAAATAAAGTTTCAAATAATGCAATTCTGTACATATTCCAAACAATGCTGCCCCTGAAATCTTCACGCATTGGAAATGTAATGCTCCATAGGCCCCACAGATAGTTGCAAAAATAGACATGATTTATAAATTATTCCCGTATGTCATGTTCTTATGTAATGAAGAAAGAGGGGGGGAAATGGTCAATTAGCCACTACAAGCATGTAGTCAAATACAAGTATCCCTGTTACCCACTCTTGGTTGATCCTGTGACAAGGAAAGAGAAAGCATAACAGAGAAATGAAAAGGGAATTGCATAACAGGGCATATATTTTCAAACAATCTTCTGAGGATGATATTTTCAAGTATTCCTTCACGAGCCTAGGCAATATAAAAAGCCTCTCTTACATCATGACAAAGATGTTAAATTTTTCTGAGTCACTCAAATACTAATTCACTGTGGTTTTTCTGCCACTTGACAGCATAGATTCTCCATAAAAAATTTTGGATGCTTCCTCTCTTTCCTCCTCTTCACCTACCCTGTTAGATCTCTCACTCTTCCCCAAAAGTTTAACATGTCTGAGATTATAATTCCTGATGAGTTTACTCCTATTTTGAACAATAAATGTTTCATCTGCCTATTTTAAGTTACTCCTTTCAGATCTCTAAATTTTTGTGTTCAAATTCATTCCCAAACCAGTGGACGTATAATGTTAACATGAACCAATATCTATTCAAAATCATTACTTAGTCAATCATATCCTCTGCTTTTAAGGTATAAAGTCCCACCTTGATAATATTACCAGGAACAAAGAGAAGATGAGCAACTTTCCCCCTGTAACGACTCGTAATTTCTATAGTTGCTTTATCGCTTTGAACTTCACAAAGTGGTTGAAATTCTTCAACTTGATCCCCCTGCCAAGATGACATGATAAATTCTTGAGATGACTTGTTTAAAAAAGTGGCAACCTCAAATGGAACATGGAACAAGACTCAGATGTTGACAAATATTTCAACTTATTGAAAGTGACATTCCACCTCCAAAATACGTTGTGTGCATTGGAAAACGGAGAGGAGCTCATTTTCGAAAAGCATAGAACCAAGGACAGAAGTTAAGATAGAATATTGCATATTTGATTTAAAAAAAAAAAAAAAAGCGAGGAAATAAGGAACCATCCAGTCGCTCACCTCTTGCACAAACCATTTGAGAAGTTCACATTCTGCAATACCTTCACCCGTTTGTGCCAATGGCACGTCAACTATCCCGCCCGCAGGAAGGTCTGCCACGGCTTCAGTGGAAAAGCAGCGTGTCTTTGTATAAGAAACATTGAAAGTGGAGAGATTTACTAAACAGTGATGTAGTCAAAAACTAAATGCAGCCACTACTAGTTGGAATTTAGTGACATGATTAACTGAAGCAAGTTCAACAAAAACATAATATCACTAATCGAATAGTGAAATTAGTGCGACCATTTGATCGGGCAGTAATTGACAAAACTAATGAGTAATTAATTCATCAACTTTACTACACATCAGTTTCCACTCAGGTCAAAAGAAACTTCAAGCGACTTACAAAAGAGCAGAATACCCTGTTATGTTGACATTGAAATCTGAAGCAGTATGGCATAAGATACGAATGGATTGGACATATTGAAAATATTCATACAGTGATGCTTTATGAAAATTATAAAACTAAAAAGACTGTATTGTGATTCTTGCTAGATATCTCATATCCTATAGCTTTTTGGACGAAATTCGAAAAATATAGGGGACAACCCATGAGTCCATGACAGTGAGGACTTAAACGACGCCGTATATCAAATGCAAATCCAACTGATAATTGATATAACATGAACATGCACATCAACATCAAGAACTCACATCTATATTATCTGGAGCTCTGGGCCGCCTAAACGACGCAGGAGCGGAGCCAGAAGAGGTCCCAGAAAAGATCTTCCGAAACGGAGCGTTTTGCTCCAACGGAGAAGAGTTAAGGGAGATGTAAGGACAGAAGCAACGCCGGCGGAAGCCCCAAACCGTCCTCTGCCATATCCGACTGCCCAGCATCCTTCTCCGGCTGTCCGTACAGAAGTATCTTGCGGATCAATGAAGAAGAAATCCAATCAAAGGTAAGAATTCCGTTCGTTCTGGATTGTTTGTTATGCATAGAAGGAAATTATTTGTGGAAGAGGGCGGAGAGATTGAAGCAAAAACTAGATGATTGATCTTAGCAAGCGTGTACGAACTAAACAAAACAAGCGGCACTCATGGATGTCAGGAGTCAGGACAGGATGGATAATTTAAAATAGGATGAGGGATCATAAGGTCATTTCGACAGAGAAATCCAAAAGCTTAATGCAAGGAGTTTCAGATACATAAGCTTAAAAAACGTTTATTAAAAAATAAATAAATCACTGGAGGCCAAAATAATAAAACGCCGAAATCCGTGTACTGCACGAGGCTCTCGAGTCTAGAGACTAGAGTCAGGGCCAAGCCAACAAACTAGTTGAATTACTGTAGAAAATAATTCAAGGATATACTTCCTCTCCTAATTGTAATACAGGACGATACATTGTTAATTAATTGACAATTTTCCAAAAAAAAAAGTTAAATAAAATCTCAATTTTTTACAAAAACTTTTATTTTTCTAATCGCATTCTCATTAAATATCATATTTTAAGTGTTTTAATGATAGCAATTAAAATCTTAATACATTTAAAAAAAGAGTAATAAATAAAATAAAAATATAGTTAAAAATAATTGTAAAAAATATCTAATGCTCTATTATCTCCGTGATCCTTATTATAGAATTTATTTTTAAAAAAATTAATCTTAAATATAAGGTATTTGATGGGTACGTATTAATTACATTTTTAAATATTATTTTTATTTAAATTTATTAATTATGAAAGAGAATGTAATATAAATTTTTAAAAAAATATTTTCAGATGGATGAAATTAATTTTTCGTAAAATAAAATTTACTTTTTCTTGACTGATTATAATAATTCGTCTCAAAAGCTAAATAAGGTATTCAGGTGATAAGAGTGAAACTAGGTATAGAGCAGAGGTTAAAAAGTTGAAATTGGGATTTCCATAGTTTATAAGTATTTCTCTGTCATTTTTTCTTTAATAAACTTCATATTTGACATAATTTATAAAAGGTTTGAAGGGCATTTAGTGTTTAAATTTTGATAAGACATTTTTTCAAAAATAAATAATTAGTTGAGATGGAAAATGACATTCATCGGGTGGCTCAATAACCTGTTAAGTCACATTTCCATGCATGCTTGTTTCACGTTCTTGTATAATTATATCATTATATGAATATATTTAAAATTCCAGCTTATTAACTGGCCTAGAATGTTGTGATTGTGAGGAACACTATTGTGATCCCCTCCCTAAATATAAGAGTAAAAATTTTTACATGAATCTAATACACATTATCCATACTTTGTTCAATAAAAACATCATATTGAACAATTGTAAACATGAGTTGATTCTACCGATGATGATAAAAAAAGAAAATATAAAAAATTAAAAAGGTACTGCACTTTAAAAATAAAGTCATTAAAAATAATGATATAATAAAATTTTATTTAATTGAATTGATGTGATTTTATTAAATAAATCATAGATGAAGTGAGCAAGAAAATTGTTTTAATTTTTAGTGTAACACATTAATTATTTTTTATCCAAATTATTCTTATTTATTGTACAATTTTTTCACCGGAATAAAATGCTAGTAGTAAATACTAATAGATGAAATATCTAAGTAAATACTAATAGATGAATTGTATGGCGAGTATTTATTAATTTATGAGAATTTATTACTAGTAGTAAATATTAGAGAAAATGTCATAAACTCTAAGCACAGTAATGACAAATGACTAATTTAACTTACTTTCTTATTTCATGACAATTTATTAACAAGATCCTACGTCATATTTAATTTAAGATCAGATAGTAGTATCATTGACCCCCCCTGCGCCAAAGGATTCAATGTATTCATGACTAATAACTAATAAGGTAGAACACTTTTTTTTTGGGGGGGGGGGGTTGCACATGATATAGTGAAAAATATTAAATTAATTATTAAGGCGGATGTTATAAAAAAAAAAACTACATAAAAATAGGATTATTACCCGATTCTGCTGTAGAGCGCTTCTGAAAAACACTGATTTACGGATATCGTCAAGAAGTTTAATTTAGAGATTTTATTACAGGTGACTAGGTAATTATTTGTGATCATATTTTATAATTGAAAAAATTAATCTTTTAATCCTTCAACTTTTAACTTATTTATAACTCAGTCCCTCAACTATAACTCACTGCGACTCAGTCCCTCAATTATAATTCGCTGCGACTTAATCCCTCAACTTTTGATTCACCTATAATTCGATCCTTATTTTTTAATTTTTTTTTAAAAATTTTTTATCAAATAAGAGGGATAAAAAATGCTTATATATTATTCTAAAATATCCTCATCTTGCTCATTGATGTGAGATATAAGCTAATATGAAAAAAAATTAATAAAAGTTCAGAGACTAATTTGTAAGTGATTCAAAAGTTGATGGATTGAGTTATAGGCAAGTCATAGTTGAGAGACTAAATCACAGCGAATCATAGTTGAAAGACTGAATTATAATTGAATTAAAAATTGAAGAACTAAAAGATTAATTTTTCCTTTAAAATTTTACATGGGCCAAAAGGATGAAAAATATTGGAATGTGAAGTGTGAGTACACCTTGCTTTTTTTTTTTTTTTGAATTGGAGGCCACGAGTAAACTATATTAATTAATAAGATGAGTCATGTCAGCATATAAGATATTACAACAACTAGGCGGCGGGATATCGAAGATACAGTGCACCTTGCTTTTGAGTCAAAAGAAGTCAATCATCTCGAGTAAGATAATATTGAACTGGGAAAAATTAAATAAAAAAGACTAATAAATTTAATACTTTTAAGTTTTATGTAAAAGTGTGATGTGTCAAGCTCATTTATACAGACGTTCTCTTAAAATAACAGGGATAGAAGTTTGAGTAAAAAAACGTGTAAACTTGAGTTAAGATATAGTATCAAACACATTTATATCTGTCATAAATTAAAACGTGGTATTAATTTGACTATTTGAGTAATGCCCGGAGATGGGCAAAATCTGTATATTTTCCGTATCCCTATAAATATTTTAAAGATTTGAGTCAATGTTCATGACCCAAAAAAAGGGGGGGGGGAATCGAAGGATCCAATACGGTATGGGTCTATGTTTATATTCAAAAGAATAAAGTGAATAATATTATATTCTGAGTTGTTTACCACGTTTGTTGCGTTATATTAATGCAACACACTCATACTCTTACCAATTTTATAATGTATATGAGACCCAGCTTAGAACAGGGATTACGATTGCTTATCTGTAAATCAATCATCATTCATTCTTATCCCTAAACTTTTCCCCAAAAAAAAAAAAGAAAAATGTGAAGTTTATACAGATATGGATGACAACTCACGAGATATCTCATTATATATACTGGAGGGGTTATTATATAGTGAAAACCAATTACCTAGGAAACTATAAGCACAATTAGTTAATAAAAATGCCACACAAATGGGTTCATGACATAGACGACAAGGCTTTTAAAAAAAAAAAACACACAAGATCTAAAATACAAGTGCCGTGAATAAAAAATTACTCCCTTTGTCAAAAGATTTAAAATTTTTTTTAAAGAGTTGTATATTCAAAAATATAAAATATTTTTAATCTTTTGAGGTACAATTATTATATTTTTTTCAAAAGTGACCTTATTAATAAATAATTTTATATTTATTGTAGGGTGTTTAACATGAATAAATATAAAAAGATAGAGTTAGTTTCAAAGTAAATAATTATTTTATTAGAAAGTGACATTCAATTAAAAATATCCTGTATTTTTAAACAGAGGGAGTATGTCAATGTATAGTGCAAGCAAATTTTTCTTCCAAAAAAGGTGACCGCATTTTGGCATACAAGTATACTCAAATTATAAACCGTCTAGCTAAAGTATTAAATCATATTTTATTTTCAATATATAATTTTAAGTTTTTTTGGGTAATTCGAGTGGGGCCCTATGAGATTTCCTTTAGTTAATAGAATTAATATATAATTTATATCTTAAATTATAGGTTCAGAAGTAATTTGAACCTTAAACTTCTATTTGATATACCTTGAACCATAAATGATTAAAATTAATGTAATTTCATCCCTACTATTAGATTAAAATAAATGTCCTTTATTTTTTTTAAAAAAGAGGCCTAATGTGCAGTTTTTTTTAAAGCAAAGTAGAAGAGAGCGAGAGGGTAGAATTTGATGAAAACAGCACGCTAGGCTTCATCTAAAAAAAATAACAAACATTTGTTTTGATTTAATGGTGGGAATAAAATTACACAATTTTTGTTGTTTAAGATTATAATGTATTAAATAAAAGTTTAGGATTTAAATCACTTCTAAACTTATAATTCAAGGTTTAAATTACATATTAACTCTAATTAATAAGGCAAAAAAAATTAAAATATTTGTTTGTTTTGAATAAAGCTGGGAATAAGGGCCGGATTTATAGGCCTTATTTAAATAAGGATTCAGACTTTAAAAATTATTTTTTTAAAGGAACCGGGCTTAAAGGCCCAGCCTTAATAAGCCTTGTGAAAAAAAACTTGGGCTCAAGCAGCCTTTCAAACCTGGTTATTTTATATATATACATATACATATACATATTTGATTGATAATGACACGATTTAATTAATATTTATTATAGGTGATCAAGAAGAAGTTGTAAAGGTAATTGACATTGAATTTTTACCTCCATCTTCAACAAATACACTTACATCTGAGGGATCTAATGTTTTATTTGTAGATGATGAGAATAAGGAGAATTTGAGTTTTAATTGATGAATGTGTGTTGTTTAGATGTTTAAATATATTGTTTAATTTTTAAAATATTGTGTGAATTTTAATTTTTTAATTAATTTATAATATTTAATTTTTTTTATCTTTTTGGAATAGGTTTCCCATCCCGGCCTTAAACCTTTTAAATAAGGGCCAAATTTCAAAAAGGAGGCTAAAAATGAATAATCGGGCTCAAGGGCCTAAATCTTTAAAGGCTAAGCCCACCTGTATTTTCAACTATAGTTTTGAACAAATAATAAAATAAAGTAAGCTGACAACTTTTCTTAATCTGCCTAAAAAAAGTCTGAAAACCTTATGTATAAGACATGACGGAGGATACAAATGACAATAAATAGGCATGGTATGTTAAAAATATTAAAATGGGAAAAGATGTCGCAAAT